TGCCCAGCTGGTCTCAGGGCTGCCTGCTTTTCACCCCAGAGCAGTCTGCATGGACCAGGGGCCCTGATGGTAGCCAGACTGCTGGGTCAGAGCCAGGGCTCAAGTGTGCTCATGGCCCCTGGACTAGAAGTACAGGCCCAGCCTTAGAGGCCATGTAGTGCAGCTCTCAGACTGCCCTTGCACTGCCACAGCAGCCTGCCCCAGTAGGCTCAGAGGTGGGCACTGCTTGTGAGGTGATGGGGCTCTGCATGGGTTTTATCACAAAGAGAGGGTGTTGGCAGCAGCCTGTCCTTGCTCAGGGCTGGCTCGTACCTGGCACAAGAGGGCATGCATAGCTGCTTTGTCAGCTTTGCCCCAGAGCTTTCCATGTCACCTCTTGGGAGATAAAGGTATGGGACTATCACTTGGGGCTGCCATTTAAAGAAATTATTTTCCTGCACTCTTCTATGTTTAATAAACTTCATGAGTCATGTGGCTGTCAGAAGCTGGGATCTGTAGCTGTTCTGTTTGCATAAAGAAAGTAGAAGACTTCCTGAAGCACAGTGGGTTGCTGTTGAACTGCATCCCAAGAAAGTAGTCCAGTATCCAGCTGCACTGGAGGACAGAGCACTGATGTTTCTGACTGCAGACTCTATGGTTCACACAGCAGATCCTGCATGGAAATGTGCATTCAGGTCTGAGGAAAATGCATGAGTGGGAGGAGGCAGTGTGAGCAGAGCAGGATGCAGTGCCTGTGCAGTCTCTGCTCCATTGGGACATCAGTTGACTTTTAGGGCTGGCTTTGTGCCCTGATGGGACAGCTGAGGCTGCCTGGGTGGCAGCTGCCACCAGGTGTGTGTGTGGGATTCAGGTAGGTGTGGGAAACTGAAGAAGCAGGTTTCCAGCTTTCCGGGTGGTGTGCTTCTGTGGAGGTGCTGATAGGCTTGGTGGGGTGGGTGTTGCAACCCTTTCTTAGCAAACTTGAGTCACCTTGCACGTGGGAAAGTATATCCTGTGAGCTGACTTCTTTCCCTCAGAGAACATTTGCTAGGCTTCACTAAATACAGAGGCTTTGTGTATTGCGTTGTCTGATTTGAGTATGGTGGGTACTTGAACAAACCAGGAATGAGTAGCTTAGTGTGCAGAAATAATTTAATACTCTTCTATTGACTCTTTCAACTGACAGCAAAACACGGTTCTCTGATGGCCATCAAAATGCAAAAGTCATTCTCCTGAGAAGGCAGATCTAAATAATTTCCACTATCACAGCAGGGTGCATTGCATAGGGCTGGAGCATACCATGACGTGTTGAATGACTGAAAGCAGGAAGTCATTCAGCTTATTTTCATGCATGTGAAGTGAGGGAATAGAAGCAAAGAAAGAGCACTGTATCCTCTCAATGCTCTTGTTGCGTTGGATTAGATGAGGTATCTTTCTGCTTTTTCAGTAGCTCCAAATCCTTTTTAACTTCTGGACCTAAGGCAACAAATTAATTGAGGATGTATGGCTATAACATTCTCAGTTTTTGTATTATATATGTGTGTGCTGTTCTAATTATATATAGTTATAATTATTTGTATAATTATAAAGGCTTTCCTTCAGTAGGGCCTTTGATGATGTCTCCCACAACATCATTTGTCACTAAATTGGAGAGATGAGGGTTTGATGAATGGACTGTTAAATAAATGAGGAGTTGCCTAGGCAGCTGCATCCAAAGATTTGCAGTCAACTGCTCAATGTCCAAATCAGGAATAAGTGCTATCCCTCAGGGGTCCATAATGTAATCTGAAGGGTTTAATATCACTAATGATGTGCAGTGGGTTTGAATATGCCCTCAGGAAGTTTGCAGATGGCACCACACCAAGCAAGTGCAGTTGATTTGCAAGTGGGAATGGCGGTCACCCAGAAAGACTTCAGCCTAGAGAAGTAGGCCCATGTGAATCTTGTGAAGTTTGGCAAGGCCAGGTATGTGGTCCTGGCCTGCACCTGCATCATGGCCCTCCCTAGTATCTGTACAGACTGGGAGATTAATAGATTAGGAGCAGCCCTGTGGAGAAGGACTTGGGGGTACTGGTGGACGAAAAACTGGACATGAGACAGCAATGTATGCTTCAGGTTAGAAAGCCAACCATACTCTGGGCTTTATAAAAAGAAGTGTGGCCAGCAGGTCAGTGGAAGTGATTCTTCCCCTCTGCTCTGCTCTGGAGAGGCCAACACTTCAAAGACTAAGAAGTTTGGGTGTGGTTTTTTTTTGTTTGTTTGTTTGTTTTCACAGTGAGTGTTTGACTATTGCTGCATGCAGAGACCTCTGTTAGCTCCTAGTACTTGCTTTTCTGGTCAGATGAGCAATTTCCTTGTGCCCTTGGCAACGTGTTTTTACTGTCTTCAGTGTGGTGATGCAAACCAAATGTAAACTAAATTTTACTGGCATCTGGGTTGATTGCTCTGTGGCTGATCTCCTGTATTACACCATAAACTGTAGAAGAGGCTCCCCCTGCATCTCCATTTGTTATCCTGTTGTCTGGCTCATAAAATCACAGAATGGTTAAGGGTGGAAGGGACCACTAGAGATTGTCTAGTCTGTCTTCCCTGCTCAAGAAGGGAGCTCTAGAGCATGTTACTCAGGATTGCATCCAGATGTTTTTTTGAACATCTCCAGTGAGGGAAATTCCACAGCCTTTCTGGGTAATCTGTTCTGTTGTGTGGTCACCTGCACGAGGAAGGTATTCCTTATGTTCGGGTGAAACTTCTGTCGGTTTCTGCTGTTGCCTCTTGTCCTGTTGCTCCACTGAGAAGAGCTTGGCTCCATCCGCTTGGGACATTCCCTTCAGGTACCTACAGACACTGATCATATCTTAGTTTTCTCTTCTTGAGGCTGAACAGGCCCAGCTCCCTGAGACTTTCCGTGTAAGAGGAGCTCCAGTCCCTTGATCAACTTTGTTGCCCTTTGCTGGAGCTACTCCAGGAGTTCCACCTCTCTCTGGTATTGAGAAGCCAAGACCTGAACACAGCACTTGTGAGTCTCACACATACTTAGTGAGATGTGGCCTCACTAGAGACTAGTAGAGAGGCAGGATCACCTCCCTTGACCTCCTGGCAGTGTTCTTCCCAATGTCTGCAGGATACCATTGGCCCCCTTAGCCACATGGGCTCACTACTGGCTCATGGACATCTTGTTGTCCACCAGGACTCCCAGGTCCTTCTCCACAGAGCTGCATCCCAGCAGATCCGCCCAAGCCTGTACCAGTGCATGAGATTACTCGTCCCTAGGTTCAGGATCCCACATTTGCCGTTGTTGAGTTTCACACAGCTTCCCTTTGCCCATCTCTCCAGCCTGTTGAGGTCCCTCTTGAGTGGCTGCATGGCTCTCTGGGGTATTGGCTACTCCTCCCAGCTTTGTCATCTATGAACTTGCTGAGGAGGCATCTGTCCCTCCATCCAAGTCATTGATGAAGAAGTTAAACAATACTGGACCCGCTATTGAACCTTTGGGGATACCACTAGTGACAGGCCTCCAACTAGACCCTGTGCCAGTTATAGTGACCTTCTGGGATTTGCCGTTCAGCTGGTTCAACCCACCTCACCTTTCACTTGTCCAGTTCACAGACCTGAGATTGCCTATGTGGGTGTGATGGGAGACAGTGTCAAAAGGTTTGTTGAAGTCCAGATAAACAACAGCCATTGGTCTCTCCTCGTCTCTCCAGCCAGTTGTCCTGTTGTAGGCTCATACTTAAGATCATACTTACAATGTTTAGCTGGTTGAAATTGTTACGTTTAGTTATGTTTTTGTAAAGGAAACGAAAATATTTCTTTGTGGCTGTTCAACTCTGACCTTTTTTTTGTGTTGGTAGTTTTTGTAGTATCAAATCTAACTAAATGAGGCACCTAAAAACCTGTATGAATTTTGGGGAAAACCAGACATTTGCCAAAAAAAAAGGGTTCATTGAGCTGTTCAGTTCTCTTTTTCTCATTTGTTAGCCAGTATTTGGTAATTACCAGCAACTGTAGGGCAGGAGGAGATAAGTGAAGACAGGAGAGATCTATGCCAGCTAATTTATGTCATGTAGGATGGGTCTTTGATGGCCTTCTTTCTGAAGAGCAATGTTAAAATGTCAAGGTGACAGGAAAAGGCAGTATTGGAGCTTTTTGTGGTACTCAGAAAATATTTTTCTCCTCCTCAAATTGGCACTTGAAAGGGACACTGAAAGCAGTATTTTAATTGATTTCTTGGCAGCCAGCAGGTTAATATTGCAAAGCAAATGCACCTAGTTGCTGGCTGGCTGTGTCTACTCCCCCTGCCCTGTAGAACTTTCCCACAGTAACTTTGTTATGGTCCAAGAAGAAATAAGATAAAAAGGAAGCATGGAAAAGGTTAACATGATTCCACTCTCATCTGCCACAATTTTTGTATAGAGTCCCTTCATTCCCAAAGAAACCAAAAATTAGAAATTTATGATTTAGAGTAGCTCTGGGTTTCACATTATGTTTTCCATGGTAGAGAAAGTGATTAATTTCTTTCAATAAGTGCTATACCTTTTGATTTACTCATCTTTGTAGAACAGTGGCATCTTCTTACACAGGGCTCAATTCCAAGTAATTTTTGTCCTTTTTTTTTCAATCTGAGAGAACTTGTCCCAATAGCTTTCTGAAAAGCCTCAGTTTCTTCTTCCTTTAAATGCAGCCAAACCAAAGCATTCCTTTTCAAATGACTCCTCAAGCTTGCCAAGTTTTCTTTCTTTGCCATCTTTGCGTGTTCATGCATCCACCCTAATGTGAGCCAGGATGCACTGATTTGGTTCCTTAGTACAAGGCTGCTGATGCACAGAACCACAGTGGTAGGGAGGAAGGAAAATAAAAAGGGAAGTGTTCCTTCTTGATTGCTGTAGCAGTCCCCTAGCTTTCATTTACTACTTTTAGTGCCAATTAAGAATTAATTAAAAGATACAAAGGCAAAAGTATCTATTTTCAGGGAAGTTCTGCTTAAACATTGTTTTTATTACGCCTTTTTTTTTTTTCTGCAGAGTGGGAAGGCCCCAGTAAAAGATATGTTCACAGATCTCAAAGATGGAAGGAAGCTTTTGGACCTTTTGGAGGGTCTGACGGGGAAACCTCTGGTAAGAGAAACATCTGAATCATATTTCCATGTATTAAAAAAACCCCAAACCAATGAATAAACAAAACACAAACTGAGGCATGAGATTCTTAAAAAAATTAAATTTATTTAAAACCTTAATTTGATTGTAATGTGTACTTGTTCTCTACAGTTCCAGTGAAATTCCCATGAACTCCACTCATGAGATACAGGGTCAGGCTGAGGCTTAACTCTGTAACCCTCTCTTGAGGGTTTACATACTGTCTAGCAGGGCATGTAAAATCAGTGGTGTTGTTCACATAGTGTATGTGAACAACATGTTTTTAGTAGAAATCTTTTAAAGGTCTGTTTCTGGATGATCAGGTAGACCTGTGTTCAGCTGTGGGGTTCTAGTAAGCTTGTGAAAGATTGCTTAAAGAACAAAAAGAAAGTTAAAATGGTAATGCTAGTAAGTAAAAATCTGCAGCTCCATTGAAAAAATTTTGTCATCTACAGACAGGAAAAGGCTGAAAACTGCTCAATATGTGTGTGGTAAAGTGTGTGTGTGGCTGAAAACTCTTCCCCTGCTAACATTTTTGGCTCTTCAGAAAGATGCACGAAATATGGTGAAACTTGTGCAATTACTTGGGATTAAATTGTTGATTTCACTATTTATACTGAGTCTCAAATTTGTTTATGGGACCTTATGAGGAACCTTCAGTCATGCAAAATTTCACATTGCAAGTTTACTTTTTTTTTAAGCAGATGTATTTTACTACTACTTCAAATAATTTGTGGTGTGAAGTATGGTGGAAACAACACGAGTTTTTTTGTTTCTGAGTTGATTACTGTGTTCCAAGTTCAATTGAACAGCAGTATGATCACTTTCTGCCACAGGAATTAAATTATGGTGATTAAAAACAAATGGAGTGGCAGGTATTGTCAAGAGTTGAAGGTTTGGGTTGTTTTTTTACCTTTTTTTTCATATTTTGTTTTGTTTTGGTGGTTTTTTGGGTTTTTTTCCTGGTTGTGGAGCTTTTTTTTTTTTTTTTTAAATTCCCCCTGATATTAAAAGGAAGGGAAAGTCAGGAAGCATAACTTCTTTCCAGTATGCAAAGGTTTAGCATGCTTTTGGTGCCAGAAAAACAAATTGCTGCTTGTTCTCTCTTGGGAGCCAGAACATTTCAAGTACTCTGGCAAATGTTCAAAAGCCTCAGATTTTCCCCAGGAACTCTTCCTTTGCTTTTGCATTGCCGGTTTATGATTCTGTAGATGCTGGGAATAAGAATTTTGGACTTGGTAATGATGAGCTGAAATACATTTTGAATCCAAGGCCTGTCCTGTGCCTTGAATTGGGGAATATTGTTCTGACCAGTTTTTGTTTTGAAATTGCTGTGGATGGTCTTGTTTTGTTGTTCTTACTACTACTAAAAGAAAGAAGTTAAAATGGAGATTTCTTCTCCAATTTTGTTTGGTATGTCCATTAATTCTGATGTTGAACAGATTGTAACTTTTTATTTTCAGCCTAAAGAACGAGGTTCCACACGAGTACATGCCTTAAATAACGTCAACCGAGTACTGCAAGTCTTGCATCAGAACAATGTGAGCATGTTTTTCCACAGATTTTTGGGAGATTCTTTAGTTTGTTGTTGTATGTGAGTTCAGAATGCAAAGAGTAAAGGTTTTTTGTATTAAAATGAGACATCATTGAGATGGATAAACTGTTCATAGTTTCTTATATAATGCAGAATTTCAGTGTCCTGCAATTTTGTGATCTTAAAATACAAACTTAATAATGGCATTAAACGACTAATCACAAAACTGTGGTTTGTTGAGATGTGTGCAGTTCCCAAGAAAAAGGTGCCTTGAAACTTTGCTGTTGCATAGCTAATGAACACAGCAGGACAAAAAAATTCAAATCATGCTGCATAACTTGTGCAGGAATCTGTAAGGGCATGGCAGGTTTTGTGGCTCTATCCTGCTCTCCATTTCCAGGAGGGTCTTTTCATTGATTTTTGTCATCTTTGTGCCAAACATATAGTGTTTCTAATTTGCAGCATGACTGGTTAGAAGAACAAACAAGCAAACAAAATCAAACCCTCCTTTAAGAAAAATAAAAATAATAATTATTTGGCTTAATATTTGTTTTTAATGCCTGGAGGACTGTAGTGCTATAGTAAAGTGGTTTTAGGTTGTTTTCCTTTTTTGACAAACAGTTCTGGGTAAGTGTGCTGTTTATACTTAGAATTTCTATTTGTGAATGTCAGGTCACTGAAATAACGTAATAAGAACATTTTGGCAATAAAAGACAAAAAATACAAGAAAGCACGGTCATATTTATATAAACTGCTGATTGAAGACTGATACAACATGCTGTATTATACTGCAATTTCCCCTCTGTGTTGGTGGACTAGTGTCATATTTCTTGGAAGCGGACAAAGCTGGCAGTGGGTTCTTTTTGTTCTTTGAGGTACTGTAAATATTGATTAACTTTTTAAAGGCTAAATAATGAGGTTTTCAGCTTGAAATTGATTTATTTTATTATGACAATAAATGAAACAATACTGAATTGCAATAATTAATTATTTCTTCCTGAAGCTGACAGCATCTGGGTTTCTGGAAGTAAACAGATGGTCTTAGTTAGCTGAAGGTTGTTAGGGTCATGTAGTTGATTTATGCCTACTGCTTAGCTTCATTAAAAAGTGTGTTGTGTATTACGATGGAGGGAAAAGGCATCCACTGAGAAGAAGTTGCACTCTGTTGTTTGAGAGTTTGTGGGCTATGCAATATTCATAACTTGTGAAATAATTTATAAAAGTGTTTAAATATATATTGTAAGGATCAGACAAACCTCGGGTGTAGGTGATCAAGTAATCCTGTGAACCTCATCCTTTAAGCAGAATGGTTCCAAGTAAGGAAAGTCAATTTTTTTGATTTGCAAATCAAATTAAAATATAAAAATAACTGAAGACCAAACTTGCTTAACTTTTATTTTCCTATCAGGTCCCTTATGGTTGAATTTCTGTTCTTCAGTTTTGACTGCTAGTATGCACCTGTATATTCAGAGGAGAGAATAAAACTCTTCCCGTGGAAAATCTTCTTTGGTGCCATCTTTTGTCATGCAGTTTAAGCAGTTAATGTTAAGTTTGTTTAAGCAGTTGTCATGACAAATTCAGATGAACAATTTTCTGTCAACTCTGCTTTTCTCTTCAACTGCTTTTTATTTCAGAGCACTTGGTAATACTTGGCTGGACAGCCAGGGATGTGGGGTGGGGTTGTTACTTGGAGCTGTGATAACAGTGTTTAATAGAGAGTTGATTCAACCTCTCCAGGTGGAGTTGGTGAATATTGGAGGAACTGACATCGTTGATGGAAATCACAAGCTGACGCTGGGGCTGCTGTGGAGCATTATCTTGCACTGGCAGGTGAGAGGCTACTGTGAGATCTCTTCCTTTCCAGGAATCATGTACATTGTTCTGCTATGAGTTTCTCAAGCCTTCCCAGGCTTTTGGTGGCAGAAAATACTGCTTCTATTTTGGGCTGGTAAATAAAGGCAGGCCGGTATTTGGTTTCTGCTTGAAGTCTATTGGCTGCCTCCCATGATCCGTATTCCTGTATGTGCCCAGTTGTGCTCAGCCGCTCAGTTTAGTTCCTGCCGGTGTGAATTGCAGAGAGGCTTTTCAGGCTGAAGCATTGTATTTCTATTCCTTCCTCAAGGGCTTGAGGCAGGTAGTGTTTTGCTGTTTAGGTAGCTGTGTTTGTCTTGCATCTTATAGCTGCTTTGTAGGTTTGTTAGTCTCATAGGTTGAATTGCTCCTGGTTTATCTAAGTATCTGGGAAGATCATTGAATTAACTTGGAGGGACTTTGGTAGATGTGTATAATAGCGCCCAAAAAACAAACTAGTTTTGTAGGATGAGCAGATATCCTCTTCTTGCAGAAAACCTATGCAAGCTGTATTTTTGGAGTTTGTTTACTGGTGGAACGACAGCACAAGGCAGTGAGGAGTATTATTCCCTATGCTTAGAACAGACAGCACCAAGTAGAGTGAGAGGATCATAATGTAAGAGTAATGTGTCATTATTACACGAAGCATCACTAGCTTTTGTAAGCAATAGAGGGCAAAGGTGATCTGAAGATTGCTGTTCTCAAATTTCATGTGAGGAATTGGAATTTGATTCATAGCTTTTCATGGGGAAGCCCCTTCCATGATTTGTGAAGTAGTTTGATTTTGTAAGGAGCAAAAGTGGGACATATGTTTGTAAGGTGTAGTTGTTGCTGTCTTGCAGGTGAAGGATGTCATGAAGAACATCATGTCAGATTTGCAGCAGACCAACAGTGAGAAGATACTGCTGAGCTGGGTTCGCCAGTCCACCAGACCATACAGTCAGGTCAATGTTTTGAACTTCACCACAAGCTGGGCTGATGGACTCGCCTTTAATGCTGTGATTCACAGGCATAAGTAAGTGGCAAACAGCTTGTCTTTGACCTGGTGAAGTAAACAGCTTTTTTTCTGTCTCTTCATGCTTGAACATTTGACAGCTTCTGGCCTATTTCAGTGATTCATTTTCCAGGATTCTTGTTTGTTTGTCTTTTTTTGTGGTAACAATAGCAGTGGTGGGACATTGCCAGCACATTGCAAAGGCTGTAGCCCAGGCAGGAGTGTAACACTGAGTTGCTGCACATGCACAGACATTTGCTAATTGGAGTGGGTTTACATCCCACTTGGTATGCATTTTACAGTGAATATATTGAAAGGGTCTCTTTAGGGGAAGGAGGAGTTTGCCATCTCCTTCACCTGAATTTCTTTCCTTCTACCTGCCCTCCTTTGCAAAAAGAAATATTCTTCCATTGGAGATTGCCATATAATTTCAGTAAGAAGATAAAGAAGCTTCAAAATGAAGAAATGAGAGGCTCTGTACCTTTTCTGGTGTTTTTAATATATTGTGCTTGAAAGACAATGTATGCAGTTCTTTCAGAACTGTGGGGCAGAATATCAAACACTTTAGGTATCTGTAGACTATCCTTTAGTTTGTTCATTATATTTTATAAGGAATAAAGTTTCTTTGCACAGATCTTTTGTGTTCTTTCTGATTTTTGCAAGACTTCAGAAGTTTAAATAAGTCATCATTACACATTCTATTGAAGTTGCATACTTTTTTTTTTTACTTCCTTTTTAAAAATCTCTGAGATCTGCTGGGCAATCCATTTAATCCTGTGTCTCTTAAATGAAGTCAGCTCATTGCTTTGCAAGGTGTGACTGTTCTTACACATAAATAACCATTTTAATGTGGAAATGGTATAATAATTTCTAGAATTTAACCAAACCTCCTGGTCAGCAGGTATTTGACACAGCAAATGCTTTACAAGCACCCAGCAGATGCAAAGTGTTTGTAGAACCCATTGCAAAGTGTTTGAAGTGCCCATTTGGCCTGGGGTAACTGCAATGGGCTCTGTCACAGGCTTGCTGGCTTCAGGACAGGTCTGCCCTGACATAGCTCAGTGTCTTGTGGATCAGAGCTGGCTTGTGTTCAGCCTGCATGGCTGTGTGTAAGGAGGGCCAGCACCATGCTGAGGGCTTCTGCAAGTTGGGAAGGATTGCAACGCAAGGACAGAGCAATACTACCAAACCTCTCACTGGAACTCATCACAAGTATTACGAACTCCCTGTCCTGGATGAATTTGAGCAGTTGTGGTGATTTTCCTAGCAGAAAAACTGCCTGTAGTGGCCTTGCTCTGCTGCTGAATGTGTGAAGCCTTGTGATGGAGAGTGTGCCAGCTGTAGACACAAATGAAACCTAGGTGACCTGAGAGAAGCAGAAGAATTAGTTTTAGGCTGTTTGCTGTCCCTTTGTTTTAACTACGTGCTTAGGCTTTGCAGGATCTGAAGTCTCTGCCCTTTTCAGAGCACTTGTTAAGCAGCAAAAGCCTCAGCTGAAAGCTTTTGACTCAGTAACTGTGCTTTCCTGTGACTTCCTAAAATCTGGGTCTGAGCCTTTTATTCCATATTCCTTGGAGCCTGACAGCTGCTGGCATGTCAGAATTCAGCTTTGTTGTCCCTGGGCACAAGTCCTTTAGTCAGAGAAGCACCATTTTCCCCATACTTTTAAGAAATCTTGAGCTAGGTTTCTCTTTCCAGCTTTGAAGGAGAGACTTTAAAAGCACTTGCAAGGAACAAGGAGATTGGGGCAGGTTGCAGAAGTGATAGGACAACAAAGCTATTCCACTTACCCAGACAGTAGTGCTTCCTTGCCTAAGGGACATTTTTCCAATACTGCTTTTATATTTTAGTTTAATATAACACTTAAAAGAGGAGAATCTAAATGGATTTCATGAAGAGATTTAGTATCTTTATTTTCTCATTATGTATCTATCAACAATTGTAAGTTGTACTACCTCTTGGGTAAAATATGTAATAACTTTGTAACACTTGCAGCATGTAAATAACCTATCACCTCATATAATTTTATTGGCATTTTACTGTACTGGTCTCTTTTATTTACTAATATTAGCTTAGCTCCTCTTTGAATTGAATTCTGCTTTTTGGTTCGATTTTCTCACCTTTAGATAAGTACCTAGCTGTGATTTATTAAAACCTTTGTTTTCAAAGTCAGTATCTGCTAAAGATTTACATGAATCTGTGGTTCTCCTTGCTGCTTTTGCATACTGTACATACTCCTTGGGTTTTTTTTGCATGCTGTACATGCATGGATGTACAGTATTCCATGAGCTATGTGAATCTTCCTGCTCACCCTGCTTTCTCCTCGCTGTTTGCTTTTTATACTCTGTTGGCTGAGGGACTTCCTGTTTCACCAACTTAATGACTTGACAGATGATAAAGGGTACTCTTAAGTCAATTTACAACCAAATCAAATATTAAAAGAATTAAAGGCAAGCCCATCTCTTCCTCCCCAAGTTCTATAAAGTACAGAATCAATAGCAGTGTTTTGATGAGAAGCCACTGTTGCAGGAGAAAGGAAGGTGGTTTAATGGCCCCTTCAGCTGTGCTGCTGGAGCACTTGGCTCATGCCCCACAGGTGTAGGTACTGCTGGGAATGGGCCCTGTTTGCTCCCTCTGCTTCCTGTTGTGTGCTCTGCTCTTTCCCCTTGAGACCCACCAGCGTGTTTTGGGTGCACAGCTGGACTGGAGATGCCCTTGGGTTAACACTGATCTTAGATGAAGGCTGCTGACAGTGCAAATTGATCAGCTTGGCCTGATTTGCACTGGGCCTCATGAGCACTTGCGATGGAATTTTTTATTGTAGGCTGTTTTTTGTTATTGGGGAAAAAAGACCATGGGGAAGAGTGAGCGAGTGGGGTGGAGGGGGTGGAGACTGATATTTCTTCTGGCTGTGATGGCCTGGGATGGTCACTGAGCCACATCACAAGTTTGGAATGAGGTTTCCCAGGAACAGAGTGACTCTTGATTACCCAGCAGTGCCTGATGCAAAAAATGTGTAGTAATAGTAATGCTGTAAAAGAAACAAAATTGAGGAAAACTGATTCTGGGATAAATTTTAAACAAAGGTTGTGTTCTTGCTAGTGACATTTGATCTCCTGTTCCAGTCCATGACTTTCTTTGGGACATGGAATGGAAGGTGGATGTTGCTGTGGGCATGCACTCAGTTAATTTGTGATCATCAGATTGTCGCTAATAAGTGAGAATCATGCTTTCTGTTTTGTGTTTGTGTATATGCACTTATGTTGGTATTTGGTATATACATGTATGAATATATTATTTGGGTAGCTATTATCATATGCCTAATGTGATATTCTGCATGGTATGGAATTTTCGTACTTGCTTTCATCCTTGTTTTTCTTTCACTTTCAGACCTGAGCTGTTCAGCTGGGACAAAGTGACAAAGATGCCCCCAGTTGAGAGACTGGAAAATGCTTTCAACATAGCCAAGAACCATTTAGGAATAGAGAAACTATTGGACCCTGAAGGTGGGATACAGTTTTTACTCAACAAGAAGCTTTTTTTGAGCTCTCTAGAAAGAAATTTCTTTCGTTGATACTAAGTATGAATAATGGTTCTATCAGATTGTGCAGCGTTATTTAATTTCAAGCCTTTAAATTTTGGATTTAAGCAAATGCCATTTGTTAGGGTAAGGGTGTGGATATACATGTGTAGGCTTTGGTGTTTTGAATATTGAAGTTTGGGTTGACTTTCCAGGGACTCTGCAAGGAAGGTAAAGTTGGTGCACTGACTTTGTTTCCTTTTAGGTAGGAGCTGTGCTGCAAGGGTGCGTGCTTTTCAGGAGCAGTAGTGCATTCTGTAGAATGGGGTGGTTTGAGAGCTCAGAATTTGTTCTTTACACACACACTGAGTAGCAGTAGCTGCCTAGGAATGCTTCTCAGGAAACCTTTATGGCTTCTTTTAAATTTACTGACCTGTTCCTCTGCTTTGAAGTGAACTTCTGAAGATTCATATGGAAAAAAAAAAAATATTAACTGAATAGGTACCATTACCCAAGAGAAGTGAATATGGCTCAGTGAAGCTCTTTCCAGTGTGGAAAATGAGAAAATTACCTGACTGGCAGTGGGAAGGGGGATAGAGCCTAAGTGGAAATGTTGGCTTATGTAGGATACTGTTCTTGAACTACATTTCTGCTTGGGAGATGCTTCAGAACAATTTTCCCCAAGCAGATTTTATTCCTTAGCAACTTCATGTCTGAGTTCTTACTTCAAAAAGATCGAGACTTTTAATGTCAATTCACTTCCAAATATAGAAAATTTATTTTTTCTTTTTATTTATTTTTTTTTTCCTCCATGCTATTTTTAATGTGTGTCCAGCTTTTAATGTCAATTCACTTCCAAATATAGAAAATTTATTTTTTCTCTTCTTTTTTTTTTTCTCCTTCATGCTATTTTTAATGTGTGTCCAACCTGGTCTCTAAGTTAGAATTTTATGAAAGGCTGTTTAACAGGACAATATGTGAACCTGTGTTCTATGTAATGATTAAAAAAATTGTCTTCATTTATTTTTCCCCATGTTTTATCTTTTTGATGCAGATGTTGCTGTACAGCTTCCAGACAAAAAGTCCATTATTATGTATTTAACTTCTTTGTTTGAGGTCCTTCCTAAGCAAGTTACAATGGAAGACATTCGGGAGGTGGAAACCCTTCCAAGGAGATACAAGCAGGAATGTGAGGATGGAGAATTCAGTGTGCAGCAGGTGTGTTTGTCATCAAAGCTGGCCTTTCTTTCCTGCAGTTGTAATTTTAGCTGATCTTCATGTTTGTCAGTTATCTCTGGAGCATGCCTTCTGTCCTGGGCAACACAACTGGGAAAATACGAAAAACTTTTGTCATTAACTTCAGTCTTTCTGCCTTCCCTTTTCTTTTCTGAAACATGTACAAAATCTTAAGTATTTGAGATATAAAGTTCCATTTGTGTTATGCTGCATTTTGGTGATTTTTTTTTTTTTCCCCCTCTCTGTTTCATATGTCTTGATCAGCTGAAGAGGGTGGTCCAGAATCTTTAACTGAATTTTCCATGGAACTTGTGGTGGTTAGTGGTAGTGATGAGGATTTGGTTGGGTTTGAGATTCACTGTTGACACAGCAAGATTAAAGTTGTATTTTCTATTCAGGGTCTTTCCTAATGAACTTTTATTTTAATATAGTGACTTTGGATTTTCTCACCAAAATGTATCCAACAATTTTTTTTAACATCTTATGAAAGCTTGAAAGAGTTTTTAGTTGTTCTGTTTTTAATACCATTTGGGATGGCATCTTCTGTGCACTTCTAAGACATCTCTTTCCTCTTGGCTGCCTAGACTGTGGCACTTGAAGAAGACCAGGACAGTTCTAGAGCAGAGACTCCCAGCACAGTGACAGAGGTGGATATGGACTTGGATAGCTACCAAGTTGCTCTGGAAGAAGTCCTTACATGGTTGCTGTCAGCTGAGGATGCATTTCGGGAACAGGAGGAAATATCTGGTGATGTTGAGGAAGTCAAAGAACAATTTTCCACCCATGAAGTAAGCTTCTCTTATCAATTCTTTTGGTGTGGTTTGGATTTTTTTTTTTTGGTATATGTGTAAATAAGCTGCAGAACTTCCATTTCCTAGCCTTTATTCAAGGCAAAATTCTTCTCTTTAGAAGAACCTACAGTGAAGCATTTTTAAAATCTTAATGTCATTTTTTTTAAAGAGCCTTTGGTGACTGGTTTACAGGTGTGCATAATACAAAGGCAGTCTGATCTCAGACTGAGTTGTACTTCCCTGCTGCCAATTACTAAAAAACTTGGTCAGCCTTATGCCACTTGCTGTTAAATAAAGGTCGTGCTGAAATTGACAATCATGTCAATTTATTCAGTGGTCCTCCTGTGATGATAGTTTGTTTCAGAAACATGTATGGATGCTTCCAAATTGTTATTTTTTACAAATTTTGGTTTGACTTTGTTATAAATCTGAGCAAATGTCCCAATGTTGCTAGAAGTTTGTCATGTTAGATGTTTTAGTTTTCTCCCAAGTCAGTTTACTGTATAAAATAGAATATATTTTTGTATGTTGAGTTGGAATTCTGATCAATAGGAGGAATTTTTCCCTTGTGCTATAGTTTTAAAGCCATGAAGCAAAGGAAGAACTGTTCTGGATTTACAGTAAATATATATTGCTAACTCATAGGGTTCCAATTGCTTTCCTAAAATACATTTCAGATGTTGTTTTATGTTCTGTTGGTAATAGGTAAATGCCTGTTTCATATTCTTGGTGTGTTTGTTTGAAGGCTCTCTTGTCCCAAACAGATCTTTCATTGAAGTGGTTGGCTTTTATTCTCTGTTTTACTGGATCCAGAATTTTTGTAGTGCATGGAAAATCTTGTGTCTTATGAAAGGAACAGGTCTGCCATCCTCATGCATTTCATGGTGCCAGCTCCTTCAAACAGCACTGTTTGAAACATTTTAATTTTTTAGGATATTTACTAAGTCGTAAACTCTGATAGGACCTCACAGGGACATGTCTGCTTGTGCCATTTCCAGGGTTTTATGATGGAACTGACTGCGCACCAGAGCAGTGTGGGCAATGTTCTGCAGGCTGGAAACCAACTGGTGGCCCAGGGAAATCTGTCACCTGAAGAAGAGTTTGAGATCCAGGAGCAAATGCTGCTGCTGAACTCCCGCTGGGAGGAACTCAGGGTGGAGAGCATGGACAGGCAGTCCCGGTGAGTTCACGGCACATAACTTCTTCTAGAGGTTCAGGACTGACCTCTGGTGCTTGCTGTGTTTTGGAGAAATTGGTTTGCATCCCTTTGTAAGACTTTTTGTTAGACTTAACGTTTCAGTTTGTGACAAAAAATCCTCCTTCATGCTTTCTAAGGTAAAACAAAAAGAATGAGTATAACTGATTGTGGGTTTTTTTTGTCATTACATAAAGTATTTTGTGAACTGTTGTGTAGATGTGCCAGACTAAATATGTGGTATTTAAATTCAGTGGTTGCATAAACTAATGAATTACTATTAGAAACACATTTAAGTTTCTCAATAAAGCGTATAGTGGCTGTGGATATCTATGGGTATTTACATAATTAAAAAGATTGTAGAATAATTCTTCCCTACATATGGGTTGCCAAGGTAAGAGCTGCACATCAGTGGAGAAACTGTGTTTTGTTGTGACTTTGAGCAGTGGCTTTATTAGCAGCAAACTCCCATTGGAAGAAACAATCCCTGATATAAATTGCATAATTCATGAACAATTTTTGTTGAGAAAAAAACAAGAATACTTACCTGTGTTCCTTAGCTAAATGGTGGATATTTTGTGATGATAGGTAACAGTTTTATGTATGCTTCTTTCCTACATGAACTAGAATTTAGTTCCTTTCCTCAGGAAAGCTGTGTCTGAAGTAACTCTGTGCTTCCCCCTGCAGCCTGCACGACATGCTGATGGAGCTCCAGAAGCAGCAGTTGCAGCAGCTGTCTGACTGGCTGACGGTCACAGAGGAGCGCATTCAGAAGATGGAATCTCAGCTCCTAGCAGAAGATTTGGAGTCACTTCAAAAACAGCTGGAAGAACATAAGGTAAACATTTTGCTGTTATGTAATATGTGTAGGAGAAGTATTTGGAGGATGGGTATGTTGGTGGATTCCTTGACTGAGAAACTTGATTGTCAAGGGTCATATATGGCTGCATTTGGTGTTTGGAAAAGGATGATGATGGTGTAGAAAGGAATTAGAAGCTGTAACTTAACACTTGAGCACTGCTGACTGGCAGGAGCTATTTGCTTCATGCAGGAAATGAAACCTTAGGGAAAATTGTTACCCTTACTTGGTGCAGAGAATAGAGCCTCTCCTGGTAAACTGTTGATGTGAGGAACAGTACGAAAGGTCCTGTGGACAGATTTGCCTTTAATTACTGGCAGGCATTACTAAAGCCTGTTTGAGACATGCACATTAAAATAGTGTGAGAGTCAAAACCATCAGGGCCTTCCAAGTCACCAATTCCAGTTCCTGCTTTTACAGGCATCACATCCTAAGGGAGTGCTTAGACACTGCTTTCTCATGTGTGCAATATTTTGGAAGTGTTTTTACTCTCAATTGAGTTTTTGGCTGCAAATCCAGCCTTCCTACCCTGCAATGTTTTGTGAAGGAGAAAGATGTCCTTTTGATATTTGTTGTGGTGCAGCTTTAGTTTTCATGCTCAGTGCTGAGGTTTGACCTTCTCCCCAGCATGGGACATACCTCACAGAACAAGAACACTGGAGTATTTTTAGTCTGTGTAGTTTCCTGTCCTTTGTTTTCAAAGTCTGGGGAGTTTGAGGCATGTGTTTCATAGAGTAGCTTAGTTATAAAAAATGACATTTACACTACTGTAAAGGTGTGTTGATCTTGCAGAGATATTTTGTAGTAGGCTTTAACCATTGAATCTGTTCTTTTAAAAAAGTTGTATGAATATTTGAACATTACACATTTGAACATCTACACATTGCTTTAAACTAATCAGAGCTGCATGTTTTCTGCAGTTTTCAACTATTGTCTTAGGAGTACCGTGGTCAGTTATTGCACTGTTGATACTTTTGAAATTATATTGTCAACTCTTGAAAAATTAGTGTTCTTAATGATTTCTGTTTGGCATGCCCTGTGTTGCTTGCTTATTAACAATAGCAGACCTGTGTAGAAAAGTATAACATCAGGCATATGGAAATCAGTGCAGTTGTCATGTGATTCTCCTGGTCAAGTATGGGGCATCCAACTTAAGGCACTCTATCTTTTACAGCATTTTAACCCAGAATGGGTTTGGGTTCATTTCTAGCAGTCTTTTGCTTACAAATTTTAAACTGGGCAGTGATTGCCAGTGGTAAAATATGTGCTTGGTATTTCAACTTCAACAGCTAAAGTTCTTTTGCCACAGAAGCTGTGATAGTCACTGTGGCCAAAAGAGCAGATTAGCAAATGCATTCAAAGTTGGTAACCTCTGATTTGTTCTTATAGAGCCTGCAGAGTGACCTAGAGGCAGAACAGGTGAAGGTCAACTCCCTAACACACATGGTGGTCATTGTTGATGAGAGCAGTGGGGAAAGTGCAACAGCTATTCTGGAGGAACAATTGCAGGTAAAATCTTAGAGCCCTCTTTTTTAAACTCTATTATTAGACACTTGAAAAATTTGCATGTAATTGTTAATCAGCATTTTCATGTTTAAAGACAATTTATCTTAGAAAGTAATTTAAAATAACATTTTCTTTAGGAACAATAATAACTTAAAAATTATTAAACCAGCTCAAGCTAAAACCTGCAAAAGTGCTTTGGTGACTTTCAAGTTCTCTTCCTGATTAGTCAAGTTGTTTGCATTCCCAATGACCTGGATAATATGGTAGTATATCCTTTAAGCAGTTTGATTAAATGGGAAGATTCATAGTACAACTCTTATTTCATATAAATTATTTTCCTAAGAAAGTTAAAATCTGAGAGGAGACATACTTGAAGACATGCACACAGTGTGTCTAGTGAATATCATATGAAGTGTTTTCCTGTCACTTAGAACTGTAACCTGAAGTACAGTGAGTACATGAGACAGAATTTTTTCAAACAGAATTCATGCTACTTTGTTGATTCCTTTTAGAGTCAATTAAATAGCTCAAAGACTTGAGCAAAACCAGAGTTAAGGCCATATGGGAATGTTTTCTAAAGTGTTAGTCTCCAGCTCTGTGCAATACAGCAATATCAGTAATGGAAAGGGAAGTAGATGTAATGTAGAAAGAAGTTAATGTGAAGTAGAAATCAGACATTTGTACATGTGGTTTTGGAGTTTCTTTGTGAGGTTTGTGATACTTTGAGTGTTTTGTGCTTTTGTAGAGGCTTGGTGAGCGCTGGACAGCAGTTTGTCGTTGGACTGAGGATCGGCGGGTCAAGCTGCAAGAAATTCAGCTTTTATGGCAGGAGCTGCTGGAAGAACAGGTGAGTAGCTGTTCAGTTTCTCAGAGTGACTGGTTGATTTGTGGAAGGGAAAAAACTGAAAAAGCACAAAGAATCAAAGCTCTGACTAGAATTGACTTCTTTTCATGGAAAAGAAACCTTGAAAGCCTAGAATTTGTTATTGTTTGGGTTCCCTGTGTTCTTTGAGGACAGGAGTAGCTCTGAAGTGCAAAAGATTTTTCCAAAGTTTAAGAATAGAAATTTATAGCTCCTTGTAAAGTAATTTCCAAGGTATCTTGTAAAAGGATCAAGAACTGGGAATATCAGTGTTATTTAGAAAATTCATTGTCATGTTTATATTGGGTAGCTTTGTAATTACAGAAATCTTCCTAAGTAACGTATATGTGCTTCCAGCATGAACACATATACACAATTGTGCAATACTAAAGTGTTTTCTTGCTTTGATATAATTTATTTTACATAAAAAATACTGCTCAAACACAAGTAACTGATGGTATAAAATATATGGTAACACAGCTACATGTGCTGTTTGTATGCCGAGAACTACAGCTTGTTTCATTTCTCAGCTGAAAGCATTTTATGATTTTTTTTCTTTGAAGGTTTTGCCAAAATAGTTTTTTTTCTTAAACACGATATTTATCACTGTAAGCTATTGTTTAAACAAGGCAGTACTCAGAGATTGTTTAGACGTTTGAAAGAAGTAGAACAGTGCTGGTATAGCTACTGGTATCAGCTGCAGCCTCATTTCTTTGACAAGGATGTTGTGTCTGCATTCTTTGGGGCTGCATGTGTGTTTCTCCCTTACCTCTCCCATATCTGTTTGTAGTATATAGATATGCTGAATTTGCAGCTCATGCGACCTTGTTGTTAATACAGCCCCAAGGTTAAGATTCTGGTTTATCCCACGCCAAGTATTTGTTTGTATGTGTTTCTTTAAAATAATGCTGTGCCATCTGTGTATGTGTACCCAGAAAATTGTGTGCTAATGTTTTCTGGCAACTCTTGGGCATGGTAATTCGGAATTGAGAAATAAGGATTTCCCCCAAATCCTTGATGTACAGGTTTGAAGTATAGACTTCAAGTGCTCTTAATTGTGATGACTCTCATGATGTCAATGTCCTTTTCTACCCTTATATTTGTTTGGGGACCACTCTTTGACTATTACAAAACTGTTAGAAGTGCCATATTCTGTTGGAGTTGAACATTTGAACTCAGCTTATTTTAATTTGTGTGTAGCTATGTTGCTCTGTACAAGCAAAGAAATCAGTGTACTTAATGTAGAATGTCAGATAGAAAATGAAGAGGAAATAAAGTTTGTTTTACCTGGTTTAGATGAGCCTTTTTGTACTCATTGTTCACCTGAACAATTCATTTATTACTAGTGCGTTTGAATTACAAATCTGCAATAATGATCAAGTGACTTACGAAAATTACAGTCTGAAACTACTTTAAAATTGAATACAAACACTTTCACGACACAAAAGTAACTAAAACACTTTGTTACAAGCATTTTCTATTTTGTCCAGCCACATGGAGAGATGAGCAACAGTGATGCATCAGCCTTTTTGTGGCTGCCTAGAAAGCTCTTGTACACCACATTTTCAAATCAACACAATCCTTACCACTCAGGAAACAAATTCCTCAATCAGTGCCAGAGACTTCTTAGCACTATGGTAATTATGTTTCAGTTTTTTAGGGAGAGTTATCTTTGACTGCTGATTTAGCAGAAATTAGCTGAACGCATGAAGGGTTTTTGAGCTCCTCTTATGCATAAAATATGTTGGCTGGGATGCCAGCATGATTTTTCCAGAGAGTCATAAGCCTTATGGCACTTCAAGCACCATCATATTTTCTGTCTGTAGATTTTGTATATTGATTTACGTTGGAAATGTAAACTGCCTTAGCCCTGTGGCCCAAAGTTGCTATAGTAAGTTCTGGGACAATGCCAAAAATATACAGCTAGGATGAGAACCTGGTGGCTGTTGTAAAGTGTGTTGTTCAAAGAACAAAAAGGTTTGTCATGTTTTGTGATTTATTTTTAAACACAGAGGAGCAGCAGTGCACCAATGGCTGGGCAACTGAGATTAATAGAGAGATGGGCATTCCAGTCCATGGAGATTGCTGTCCAGCAGCAGCATTATGTGGGAACTTGATATAGAATACATCAAATCCTTCCTGGTACTTGATGCCAGTTATTGCTGGTGTTCTGGAGGAGTGCTGTGTGACTGAAGAAAAGTGAGACCCAGGACAGGTTTTGTAGGAAAAAAAAAAAAAAGGAAAAAACAAAAGGTCCCTGAGTTAGAACTAGTCAGAGCAGACCACTCCAGCTTCCAGTAGTTAATGAAATAGGATTTGCTGAAGTTGTTTTCAATTGAAAGTAGATACCATAAACAGGGAGGTGACTAATTAGTATCTGAGGTTTTGATCAACTGTCTGGACTAAAAACTATGAATTACCAGTGGTATTCCCTTCTGTGAGAAAATGTAACAGCTGTGTTTGAGTCACAGAGGGAGAAGGGTGGAAAACAAAAGAACTCATGCATGCCTTTTTGATATATTCTATTATGATTTCTAAATCCTATGTTAACTTTATGGTGGATATCTGTTTGCTATATAAATAACTTGGGGGGAGGTGTGCTCTGATATATTGAGAAATGGTTTTGTTGAAATTGTTTCACTGCAAGTATTACTTGCTTTCATAATCTGATATTTTTGTGTACTGTTTTTGTTAAAGTCAACTGAAATTTCAGCATATAAAGACTGCAGAACTGTGCTTTGTATGCAAAGGTTTTAAAGAAACAATTGTCAATAGCTGTTTGACAATCTTGGTATTTTCTTGTGCTGTTTTTCTTATGATCTTCAGTGCTTGTTGAAGGCTTGGTTAACTGAGAAAGAAGAGGCTTTGAGTAAGGTCCAGACAAGCAACTTTAAAGATCAAACGGACCTGAGTGTGAATGTTCGAAAACTAGCAGTGAGTATTGATGTCCTGCTCTATCCCATCAAATCTCATAGACTAGATGAGTGGCAAATTACTGGTTTGACCCTAGTAGGAGCTGTGAATGCATGACACAGAAGCCAGGGCAACATTCTCTCCTTGCCAGATTCTTGCACTTGAATTGAAAACATATGTGCTATTTACTCCATGCCATTCTATGTTGGTGTGCCAAACTCTGAAACAGCTATCCCAGATTTTTCAGAGGGTTTGGATGTTATTGCAGGCCACCAGTCAGCTGTGCTTTCCAAGGTATAGGTTTGTGGTGTGGGTTTTTCTTTATTTCATTGGAGCAGCCTTGTACCTGAGCTAATAATTTGTGACTTACTGAAGAGATACTGCTGGTTCCTCTAGGAGGTGTTTCAAGGATGTGCTCTTTAAAAATAGTGTCTGTTAGTGCTTTTTTTACACAGAACAACTGTTCATCTGGCTCAGGTAGTACATCTTTCACCCTGTCACCACCCTTTCAAACCCCTGTGCGTTTTAGCCATGGAACTAAAATTAGGGGAAGTAGAATGCTCCATGTTATATTTTAATATTTTCTTTTAACTACAGATTTTAAAAGAGGACATGGGTATGAAACGACAAACACTAGACCAGCTGAATGAACTAGGTCAGGATGTGGCCCAAATCCTTGGGAATGGCAAAGCATCCAGTAAAATTGATCAGGATCAAGAAGAGCTAACTCAGAGGTGGGACAGTTTGGTTCAGAAGCTAGAGGATTACTCTAATCAGGTATTTACAAGGCTTTATTACTTTTTAGCTTTTTGTATGACTGCATGCGTGCAAACTTCACTGTATTAGCAAAATTGTCCAGGCATCAGGCTAGAGACGTAGCTGAGTGCTTTTTCACGTGGGACTGACAAAGCTGCCTGCATTTTTGGTCTCAAAAGCCCAAGTTGTTAACCTGACAAGTATTATTACTCCTTTCTCACACAGATTAAGCTTCATTTTTCTGATGAGTAAAACAGGCTTGCCATGTACTAACAGTCAATGCACATGCCTTTAAACATTATAAGAGTTCTGGGACTGGATTTAAATCTGATACTAAAAGAAAACAAAGGCAGAACCCAAACCCCAGAATAGATAAATAAATGGGAGTCATACAAGTATTTATGCTCTGTGAGTATGATTTCTCATCCATTGAAAATAGAGTAGTTGTTTGTTTGACATGTAATGATGATAGCCAAGCTGGATTGTTCAATGTTTATTTTAGTGTTTTGAGTGCTTGGTAATGTTTTTATTTAGACAGAACTCCTACTGGATTCTATGACAGTTTTATTTGACAGCTTTATAACTCATATGTGCTTTTTCTGGTGATATTAATATGTTGTTATTGTGAAAACCATGGCACTAATTCATGATCCATTTAATGTATAGTGAATGAGTTGTGCAGTCTGGGTAGGGGCTCATTTCAGCCATGTGGCTTTAATTTGTTCTTCTGTTTGAGTCAAAGCACTAGAGAATGCCAATTCCTGTTTCTATCCTTTCACTCCCCTTAAATATCAAGCACATACTTGGAACTTACAGGTTGAGTCTCCAGGGACTTACCTTATAACCTGATAAAGAGCATAGGAGGTTTCTTTTGACTCAAGTGAGCTTTTAGGTCACATTCACTGTGTATCAGCTCTTCATGAGATCTAGGCTTTATTTTATAGAATAAGAGTAGAGTAGTAGTAATATGTAGAATTGCTAATAATAAACTTCAAGTACCTTGGTTCGTTTTGTGAAGAAATTATGAAAGAAAATACATATAATGCTCCTTTTGTTAATTTTAGTTCACTTGGACTGGCATGATTCTAGCTGAACTGAGAATTTTGATGCTTGATTCCCATCTGTAAAATGAGAATAATGATCTTTTTCTCTGGAGTGTATCTATGATAAAGGTGCTTCATGACAGCTCGATGTGGTCGTTTGTGGGAGTGAATGAACAGGCTTTTATGTCTGAATAAAAGAAAATAAGAAAAAGCAACTCTGCTTGTGTAAAAATGGCACATAATCCTTACCCTAAATTATTTTGTATAGGTAACTCAAGCTGTAGGAAGCGTAGGAATGTCACAGGTTTCACAGAAGACTGCTGCAGAAACACCATTGAAGGAACAGGTAGTGGTTAAACAGTCCAGACAAGAATTACCCCCACCACCACTCCCAAAGAAAAGGCAAATTCCAGGGGACAGTGAAGCAAAGAAAAAGTAAGTACACGTCACTGCAGTTTTCCCTTGCTCATTGGATACTACAGAGACTGTCTTGACTTTTGATCCTTCTTTTATGCAAGTGAGCAATGCTTAAGTTGCTGCTGTGAGGTTGGGTTTGGGGGCTTGTCTAGATTATCTCCAGTCATCTCTTTCAACCCTATAGATTCTGTGATTCTTTGAATGGGAATGGAATGTTTGCTGACTACTTTACTGCCCTGTTTTTGTTTTCAGAGAAGCAGAAAACCTGTAGCTTCCATTAATTTCAACGGAAAACAGGGATGTTTTGTTTCTCATAGAAGCAGGTCTTCAGTCCTTTGTACCTCAGCTGCTTTGCTGAAAAGACAGATTTCTATTTACTTCCTTTAAGAAAAACATTTCATCTTTGCTCAAGAGGTGGTGTGAAAGTGTCAAGCATTTTGATTGATTTATTATTTATTTCTAATTTTTATAAAACATGAGAAAAATGGGAGAAACCGCACAAAAAAAGATGCCCAGAAACATTTTCCATCTCTCTTGTATTTAGTAATTGGAATAATATTACATTGATATCTACTTTGACAAGTATTTCTGGAGTTGCTGGTGTTAATTTGCATATACAGTCTCATAGAACCATTTGGGCTGGAAGGGACTTCAAAGATCATGTCATTCCAACCTCCCTGCTATGGACAGGGGCACCTTCCATTAATGCAGGTTCTTTGGAGCCTTATCTAGTCTGGTCTGATAGGCTTCCAGGGATGGAGCATCCACAGCTTCTTTGGGCAACCTGTTCCAGTATCCCACCACCCTCATACTAAAGAATTTCTTTCTTATATGTCATCTAAAATATACTCTCTTTAACTTTAGAAGTTACTCCTTGTCCTATCAATACACTTCCCCACTGAGTCCCTCTCCATTTTTCTTGTAGCTCCCCTTTAGGTACTGGAAGGCTGCTATCAAGTTTTCCTGGAACCTTCTCTCCTCTTAAGCCTAACAGTATTTAATAATTGGTGTTGAATTTTTGTTATTAAATAGCATACCTAAAACTAAAGGAATTGTTTCAATATGAATTAGGAAATTAAATGCTGTATGCTCAACATTTGGATTTTTGTGCTTAGCTGAGGAAATGAATATTTCCTTGAAGTATCACTGGTTTAAATCTTTGTCAGGTCATTCAGAGATACAATAGAGGCTGCATCAAGACTAAGGAGTTGCTGTGTGTTTGCACAGTGAAGAAGAGTTTTTAAATTAATTTTTTTTTTTCTGGAGGAGGAATAGAGGTTTGAAGGGGTGAGGAACTTGCCCAAACCCTCTTGAGGACTGTTTTCAGACCTTTTGAGCTCTGGTAGGAATGGTGTGTGCATCTGGACATGCCAGGGCAGTAAAGTAGTCAGCAACCATCTGTCCTTTCTGTGCATCTTCAGTTGTAGAAACTATTCTAGATTTTGAAAGCAAAAGTGATTTATCTGTCATCTGTTTTCCTAGAGTTAAAACCAGGGGTAGTAAAAATAGGTCATAAACTTTGATGCTTTTGCGTGTTTCCATTTATTTCTGTTGGAACTACAAATAACCAGTAAGTGGAATTTTGCCAGTTTTCCCATGAAAAATTTGATTGACAATTGCATTTATTGGGGTTCTGTTATTCCATGTTAGGATTCACACTGTTAAGTAATCTACTTGTAATACAACCTGACTTGTGGTCTGTACAGTGTATCTGTCCATCTCTCAAGTTCTGTACAGTACTGGTTAATTTCAAAGTTGATTGTGGTGGTGTTAGGCTGTAGCTTAGAGGTCATAGGGGTAAGAAAGTTGTTAGTATAGATATGTGCACTGTAGACAGAACCAGTAAGCTATAAGTTAATCTTTTGTCAGCTAAGTGTGCAAAAATGTTTGTCAGCTGTAAATGCCACTGTTAGCTTTTCCTTCAAACAAAACAGTGTTTGTTGCAGACTTTTGAAACTTAGAACTACAATTCTTATTTGTTTTGTTCCTGAAGTCTACTTATTACTTTCAAAATACTTGGCATTGAGAGATCTGTTTTGTAACATATGAAGAGAAATGCTTATAATTTACGTGAAGCTGTGTGTAAAATAAATTGCACCATGTATTCTCAATTTGTTCCTGAAGGCTGATACTGTGGGTATAATTTTTATTATGGTAGGCTTTTAAAAGTCTGTCTCTATTTCCTGTGAGTAGTAATATGAGGAGCATGAATTTTGTGTAAAGCCTTGCTAGTTTGGGATTAAATAATGTGCTGAACTTTAAGACTTTTGATTTTTAAGACAGAGTGAAACCAAAAAACAAACCACTGTCTGACCTTTTAAACTAGGTTTGATGCTGAAAGTACTGAGCTCTTGAACTGGATCGCAAAATCAAAATCTGCCATTCAGGCCACAGACATCAAAGAATATAAGAAGATGAGAGAGACTTCAAGCATGAAAGAAAAATTGAAGGTAAAATGGGGAGATAGAGCATGTTTCAGTGAATACTGTACTTTGTATCTAAGCTGGCTGTCAGCTGGAGGTGTGAGCTGATCCGCATGCTTTGAGGGGATTAAGTCTCTCAGTTAAATAGTTTCAGAACTGAGCATACATGGAAATCTCTGACCAGCTGGATACATTTTTTTTGCTGGTGTTGTTGCGTAATCCACAGGAAATTTTAAAAACATAAATTACTGATGTCTCCCTTGGAGTTCTGAAGAATGTCTGTCTTAAGGATTATTATCTTTTACACTAAGTAGCATATTTTGGTTTAATGTTTCACAGTTGGAAATGGCCTTGATTGACACTACTTATATAATATTGGTGGAGATAGGCCAGTGGCGTGCTCAGAGACCCCTTGAATCATGCTGTGACCCTCCTCAAACACTGTACCACTCAAGGTCCAAAGTGGTTTGTTATAATGCTTGGACATGTTGTTTGCTCTATTAATTTTGGAGAAAACCTGATTTTGTTACAGCTTGTGTACAGTATTGCTGACCTGCAAGACAGACTACATAATCTTACAGAATCTTATGGGAGCTGTGAAGTAACCATTTTATTTTCTATTCCTTGTCAGGAATGTATTCTTGCCGTTCTCTGGTTCTTGAGCATTCTTTGTTAATGAAGACTCAATGGAGCTTTAGCAGGACCTGACTCTGCTTTTGAAATCAAAAACATTACTTAAAAATCTCTATAAAGAGGCTCCTCCATAGTGCTCTCGTGGAAAATGGTGCCAGTAGGAATGTTTGGAATGGCAGTACTGTTGGAAAGAAAAACCAAAACAACTATCCCAATATTTTATTTATAGATCTTTAAGAATATTTATAACTCTTTAAAAAAGAGGTCCTGAGATGAACATCAGGTTCCCATGAACAGTACTTTTTTTTAATTGTTGGACTCTAAGTGGATAGGACAGAGTTTGTTCTTCCCAGCTGTGCAAATAAGTGCATGCTTCTGAATGTACTGTAGGAAGCCTAAACCAGAGTAATGACCTTTGACATGAGGTTCAAAAAGATTTTAGTTTGGATATGCATTGTTGTAATCACAGAGGATTGTAAAGTTGTGATTTTGTGGCCAAGGAACTCATCTTTCCTCTGTGGATGTATTCTACTTATTGACTCACAAAAAATATTCACCAATATGTATAACTTGTGGGAGGAGCTTTTTCCTTTAAAAACTTTGGTAGTCATGGAGAATTTCCCTCTCCAAGTCTTTGTAAGGGAGAGAAAAGCACTAGAGCTTATAAGAGTGGATTACTGGTATGCTATAGTTCTTGCTGTTTGGAAGAACTGTTCTAGGGAACAGGTCTGTTGGTCCCTTCTACTGGAAATCAGAGTAGAAACTGTAGAAATGAAGGGGCCATTAAAAAGGTGGTCTTTTCTCCACTGGTTCACATTAGCGGATTACAGGTGGATTTTTGAGCACAAGTGACTTGTTTTAACTGTTGTCCCAATATCTTATTTCACACTGTGGAATCGTCAAGCTGTTAAACGATATTTTATTCCTGGTGCTGTAGTACTAATCTCTCACATGCCTGCTACTTGTGAGAGGTGACTCATTTTGCATTTGTTTTCTGCACAAGCAGAACTAACATGCATCTCAGAAGGTGGTGTATCCAGAATAATGATGTGTTTTGGGTAGTAGTGGGAAAATATTACTGGGGGAAGCAGAGAAGTCAAGGAAAATAACCCTTGCTGACAGTATATTCCTTATTTGATTCACTTTGAAGGTGATTGAAAAGGAAAGAGCTGAAAAAAGCCAGAAGTTAGATGAACTGAAACGAAGTGGACACATTCTTTTGGATCAAATGGGAAAGGGTAAGCAGCTTGGAGGTTTTGCTCGTTTGTGATTTAATTAGTTGAGTTGCTGGGAAATAATATTGAAATACATTATCTCCTTCCTTCTCCCTCCATTTTCTTTCCTTCAGTGGTCATTGTTACTGTTACTAGTTAGTTGTGTGTTTTTTCAATTAAAGCTTTTAGAAAAGCAATATTATTCATTAATGTGCATGTGTTCATTTCCAATCTTTTAAGGGGTATTTTAAGAAATTATTTCTCTTTCAGTAACAATGCTAGATACATGGTTTCAAGGAAGTAGTTTGATTTTAAGTACAAGTTTTAAAACAACTGCTATAGAGAAGTGAAATTTTTGAAGCCAAATTTAAACTTGATACATATGTGTCTATCTCTTTTTTTCATAGTTTTATCTATTTTTGTAAAAACTGTCCATGGTTTTAATGATGCAGTTACAATCTATGGCTCAAAGGCAAGAGAGAAGTCTATATGATTGGGAAAATGATTGCCAATTAAAACCCTGATAAATGACATCCATGACAATTGAAGCCTTGCCAAAATCTTGTTTCATATTGAAAAAACAAAAACATAGCTTTTATAGAGGTATCATTCCATCAGTAGAATGATACCTCTATAAAAGAGATGTTCATATCAATTAGAGGCAATCTTTTAGATCTGCTGTGCACTTGACTTCCGGTGAAGTTATCATCACTGGAGCATTCAGACAGGAGAGAGGATGGTATCACTGTCCTGCATAATGACCAGCATCCCTTTAGAAAATGGTGAATTCCAATGGATTTCTGAGCAATCACAATTTTTTGCAGTCCAATGCTTTGCTTGTATGCCCCAATTTACAAAGCATGTCCAGTCCTCCCTCCTTGCCTACTGCAGCTGAAGCTTTTTGCAGTAGTACTATTGCCCTGAAGTTAATGGCTGAAAGCCATTGATTTGACCTGGAGTTTGGTTTATAAAAATTTTTCAAACCTGAACAGAAATTAATGCTCCCTTCCTCTTTCTTCTACAAACCCTTGTAACTGTGATATGATAGGTTATGGTATGAAACCAGCATGTGTTAACCATAACAAGAAATGCATAGTTGAAAAGCTGCTTTATATCAGCAAGGAGTAAGGTCAACAATTTGCTTTCTAATTGATTGTCAACTTAAGGGTTGGGATCTCTAGAAAATAACCAATCTACAGCCCCTGGTTTTGTTAGGGTCTGATAGTATGTTCTGTCCAGCTCAGGCTCACAGCCTTTTTCCACACTGAGGCCCAGCTACACCTGTGTGGAATAATGCACAGCACTGGCACATTTGTGCCTACATCCATTTTTTCCTGGGGCAGGTACAGGCTGTGCCATAATGGCAGTGACTGGTCTTTGTGTGCATGCTCCTCCCCTGTGGCTGCTGTGCTGTTGGTGTGCCAATCCTGTGGCCATCGTGTGAGCACAGGGACATCTGTGGAGCAGGGTCATCAAGTGCTCCAGTAGAAGCTGGCTGGCTGCCCTGACCAGCGCTCTGGACTCTACTTGTGCTAGAATGGTTCAGAAAAAAAACCCTCTCTGTGTCTTTCCTCAAAATTAGAGTATCTCACTCTTCATTTTACTAGAAATATAAACCTGAAAGGGTGCTAGTAATAAGTGTAGATTTATAGATATTGAACTTTGATTCCAAGTGTTTTGTATATTAATGTGAAAGTGCTCTTATTTGAAGAGAGGAAAGGTTAAATGCCTGTTAATGAAAATGTGTTGCAGTTAATATAACAATAATTTGTATAATCTTTGTAGAAGGACTTCCTACAGTGGATGTAAAATCTGTGATGGAGAAAATTTTGTCGGGGTGGAAAGATGTGGTTCAAAATCTAGAAGAAGTGGCTAGAAAGATAAAGTACCAGGAAGATATAAATGCTTATTTAAAGGAAATGAATGAGCTTGAGAAGACTTTAATTGAGAAGAATGACTGGCTTAAAAAAGACTCTTCTTCAACGTCCCAGTCCTCGGCAGTCTTGAAAGACTTATGTCAGGTAAGTGTGGCCAAACTTGCTAATTTTGAAATGAAGCTGTCAGAAGCACAGGATGCCCCAGTAGACCTTGGCCTAGTCAGTAAGGTAACTCAGTTTCTAAGGCATGCAGGGCACCTGGCTTGACTGGAAGATTTTAGAATCTGTCACAGAAATGGTTTAGTGTTGTCACCCTAGTAAATGTGAATGAGCTGTGCTGCAGTAGTGTACTAAAATCTTTGTGTTTGCAGGGTAAGTATAAATTTTGGTTTTGGTTTTTCTTTTACAGCAGGAGTTAACTCATCTTATAAGCCTGAGTCCACAGTTGGAACATCTGAAAGCCACCTGCAAGACACTCACCTCTCAGCCCATGCCTCCAAATTTCATTCAGGAGAACTTGAGTTGTGTTCTTGATCACTTCAAATTGACTCGTCAGAAACTAGAGGAGCGTCATCAACAGCTGAAAAAAGGTAAATAAATAAACATAAATACGTTAGCATAAAGCCTCCTGCTTACTTGTGTTTTGATCTTATTTCTTTTTTATTTGTTTTGAGCTAAGTGAAAACTCATTGAATTCTGGTGGAGTTTTTGTAGTGTTTGTTAGATGTTGTGCCGAACGGACAAAATTATTTTATTCACCTGGAGCAATGTGGCCTTCTCTGTGGACAATTCAAAAATCTATCATTCCATAGTGTTAAAAATGACTATGCAAGGATGCAACATTCCTGAAACCTCATTTAACTACTTAGCAGGACATATTTAAGGCGGGTGATATAGCGGAGAAATCTGTCTCTCTCTGCCACTTACAGAAATAAATATTCTGTAATGAAATACTATAAATGAAAAGTAGAATATTAGGAGAACCTTGTAAAATGAAAGTGCGTATTTGAAATTTATTCTTTTTCATAGCTTTGAGCACATTACTCATACATAATTCCTTTTGGAAATTTCATCTTTGAAGTGATTTGAATCTGGCTTGCTTTTCAGGCAGTTTCTACTTGGGTTGTTGTTGCATTATAAATTTCATTATGAGCATTCAAACCAGTCATGCTGGTTTTTAAAGAATTTTAAATGTAGTGCATGAAATATGTAGTTCTGGTAATACTTTACAGCTGAAGAGCAACAGCACAGACTTGTAAGAGATTTTTTTTTTTTCCTGAGTTTGTTTCAGAGTAATTTGAGGAAGTGTTTTATTAACAGCCCCAAGTTGAAGAGCATTAACACTCTATTCTGTGTGTAGTAAAATAGGCTTAATTACTAAATGGTTAGTCCATCTATACAATGTGTGGCACCAGGCCTGCAGGCTTCAATTATATCCATGCAGAAAACTGTATGAATGAAATATCTGTCAGCCATGTTCAAATTACAAGGGGATGTTTTCATTCTTACTGTAACTAGTTATTATTTTGTGGCTGATTTTGAGTTAATGTACTTGTGAGTAATTTTATTGGTATTTTGTATTTTGGTAACTATATATCATGGGACAAAAGTACCTTTTTTTTGTGTGTAACACTTGAGGTATTATTGATCTACTTACTGCTTGGTAGAAACACCATACTTATTCTAACACATTAAAATTGTGTTTGTGTGTCTTTTGAATGAGACAACCTGCTGAGAAGTTATATTGCTGAAGAACAGAGGGAAACGTTAGTTCAGAGTTTTAGCTGTTTATTTACAGCATAGTTGAATCGCTGCAAGGTAAAAACTTCCAGAATTATGTTAGTGCTGGAAACAACTGGTGGTGTGGCTTAAGCATTTGTGAACTGACAGAAGGCCAGCTCTTCTTATGGCTCTTCTTTGAGCCTCTGAAAATTCCCCCTTGGAGAGCTACTCAGTCCCAACTCTACTGGCAGTTTTTAGATAGGAATTGACTCAATATTTTTGTCACTGGGAAACTACTTTAACTATTTTCTTCTCCTTCAGGATTTTCTGTAGTTTAGTGACAGTGTACCTATATGCTTCTTATTAATTTTTCCCCTATCTTTAAATTGAGCTGGCTTTTGGAGAAAAGGGAGCTGGATAACTCTGATTCTCTCAAAAATGTTGACTCATTTTTATAAATGGTAGGACAGTTCTGACAGTAAGCTGTTGAAAAGCTACCTGGTGAAATCAGAACAAGGCTTAGATTCATTTTCACGTGGGGCAGTAACAAAATTGCTTAGGAATCCAGGGCCAGAGAATGTACATACCACAGTGCAGGACTTACAGTCAAAATCCTGTTTGCTGCAGTTATTCCAATTGGCTGTTTTCATTCTGAAATGCCACTGAGGTGCTGCCTCCTGTTTGGGATTCCACACAGGGCTGGATTGAACAAATTTTGAGATGTGGTTGAAGATGGCAAGCCATACTCCACCCAAACTTTAATTCCCCTTTAACTCTTTCTACATGGCATTTCTCTGCTGGTAACAGGCTGAAAGCTGGTTTTTTTAAATATATTTGTGTGGGTAAATAGATTAAAAACTGTAAAAAAGCAAGCAAAACACAAGCCCACACTAATATGTGTTTTATATATTTATATATACACACACTTTTTATAAATACTAGCTTATGTAGTTCCTAGATATAATGTGCATATTTAATTTAATATGGCTATTATATTTGCTATACTATGTTTTCTATATATAGTAGATATCTGTGTGTGTGTATTTGCAGATAAGTAGTAGATATGTCTAAGGCTTAAAAATGCAAAATACTCATTTTGGGTGCTTTATATATTTAAAATACTATGGATTATTCTTGGTATAATGACATATGATTTAAATACTATTGATTCTACCACCCCACCCACCCAAATAGATTTAGGTGCTTAAGTATATAAAAAGAATTTCTGAAAATGGGATTGAGTTTGTAAAGTTTTTGGAAGGTAGTAATTGCTTTTTTGTTATTATATTCTATATGCTTGTATGCTATATATTTAATATTTTTAGAGGAAAAACAATGCTATCTGTTGAAGAGTTTTTTAGCTCTTGGCAAGTTATGTTCACATCTCCTATGATTCGGGTTCAAGTGCATTTCCTTACTTTGTGTTTTGTTCCCTTCCTGCTTTACATGGTACCAGAGGCAGAAAGGCAGCCGAGCCGGGAGTACGTGGAGTCCCTGCAGCAGCTGAAGGATGTGCTGAGCGAGCTGGAGGCCAAGCAGCACTCCATTGCCAGTGGTCTGAGCGAGCCCAGCAAGGTGGAGAGCGCCCTGCAGCAGGCAAAGGTAACTCTCACCTTGGCACTGAGTAAGGAGGTTATCCCACTGCTGTCACCCTCTCTTCTCCTGCCTTGCTTTCAGTGGGGTAGCTAACACTGCTCAGAGGGGCGTCAGGGATGTGGGTGTGGAACCCACTTTTGGAAGTGGCTTGCTGAGTTATCAGGCTGCTGAGGGACATGTCCAGGGGAGGGCTGGGTATCTCTGAGCCTGCAAGACTTCACAGCTTCTTGTGCTGCCTGTGCCAGGAGATGGGGCTGAGTGCTGGGACTGCTCAGCCAGGGGAGAAGGACCTCAGATGGCCTTGGTGGCTTCCCCAGGCACTCTGCTGTGTGCGTGCCTTCTGTGCTCGAAAGTTGCAAAATAAATAATAGAGCCCCAAGAGCATCCCACTTCTAGTGGCTGGGTTGGATCAGGTTGATGACCTGATACAAGGTCTGCTTCTCTGTTGCTGAGTGCAGTTGTAAGGAAAACAAGGAGCTGGAGCTGCACCTGCCTGACCCCATGACACCACAGTCATGCCTGTGCCTGGCCTGATTCTGTCCTTGGGAGGCCATGTCCCTCCCTGGGACAGGGTGATCTCCTCTGACCCTGTACTTCTCTGTACTCTGGAGTACAGAGAAGTACTGTACTTCTCTGGTCTCCAGACTGCCTATCAAAGGGAAACAGTGCTGGTGAGCCTTAAAGGTAATTGATACAAAAATCCTGTCCAGTAGAAACAATATTTTGTTTCCTGTTGTGAGCTTATAAAGTCGACAAAAATTTATAGATGACAGCTGCTTTGGAAATACCAAATACTGGGGCAAGGATGGACCTCTCTCCAGGGAGAGAATTCTGCATCTCCAGTACTTTTCCCCCCATTTTTTTTCCCGTTTGTTTGAAAAAACTCAAATACTTCCCTGCCTGATCTACTGCCCTCCACATACAGAAGCATGTAGTTTTCCCAGTGTGGTGGCCTAATAAGGCTGTAGGTGGAGGAGCTGTGATTGCTGGGTGCAGAAGAGCACCTTTTCTATTATATCCTTCTCTATTTAGCAGAGCAATGATTTTTAGAAGTCCAGTAAATACAAATGTTAGTGCTTTGGGATTGTTTGAACCAGGAGATTAAAACAAGCTTTGATTCTTTGGTTTTCTTGTTAGTGTTACTTCTGTTTTGTTTAGACTTGATGGAGATTTTCTGGTCTGTATGCTACATGAATTGCAGTGGCATTTAGCCTTTGGAGGCTTGTCTTTTCCTGCCTCTGCCTAGTTTTCTTCAGAGACTAATTATCCTGAAAGGACATACGCTGCTAGTGTAGGTGCTTTGAGGTTAGAGTGTGATAGGAGAGGGGAACAAACTGTATGTGAGGAGCTGCTTGTGGAGCCTGGGATTGCTCAGCTCTCTCTGCACTGTAGCAGGCACTGATAAGTGCTTCATCCCTGGTCTCCTGCACAGAAAGCTCTTGTTTTCTAAAACATACATTCCTCTTCCCAGTCTCATTGCTACCTCTCTGCCCTCCTGAGAGGAAATGTACCCTTTCCAGGAAAAGAAACACAATAAATGTGAAGTAGATTTGAGAACATGAACATTTTAAAAAAGTTTCTTCTTCAGTAAAAATACAGCAAAATATGTATGTACACATCCTGTTTGTACATATTAAATGTATATACTAGAAAATTAATTCCATTAAATTAATAATAATTTCATGCATTCATTGTGAATGTCTCTTAAGCAAATTTGATGCACAGGAATCAAAATTATGAGTTCAGTGAAGTGGCAGCATTTTTCATGTTTTGGCTTATATCTTTAGCTGTTATTTTCCATATTAGTAAATTAGCTCTTTCAAATCAAGTGACTCTTTCTATCAGCAATGTCATAGTGAATATATTCAGAATGTATACTCCCTGTATGTATATATCCCATCTGAGAAAGTAGATTTCAAAACTTGAGTATCCAGAGCTTTTTTTCTGCAACTAAGAAATTATTTCACTTTACAAAACTTGGAAGAACACACACCGCCAGTTTGTGTGTGCTTTTAGAAAACAAACTTGTGGTGGTATGAACGGAGGTCCTGGTCTGGCTGCGTTGCAGTTTGCTCTGTGAGTGCAGTGTGGCACAGCCCTTGCTTTGTTGACTCGAGTGCGACTACTGTGCATCACACGAGAGGTGTAGATGCCTGCGCATCTTGAGCTATGAGGCCAAGCTTTGCCACCCCTTCTGTAGTCTCTGCTGCTGCACCAGTACAGCAGCTGAAGGTTTTGCTGTTTAAAAGGTTGTCTGGACATCTCTCCTTCAATAATTGCTGTAACGGGAGTGTCGCTCTTCACTGAGTCTGCACGAGTATTACTCTTCACCATCTGCACAATGAAACTTTTTAGGTACTTGAATTTGTATGTGTGTACCTATTGTATGGCTAACACTGGAAGGAGGCTTTTTTTCCTTTTGTTATAGACAGTTTGTGAGACACTGGAAGCCCAGAAGCCCAGGGTAGATAAACTTGGTGAAGAAACAAAGGCTTTGGAGAAGCAAGTGCCTTCGGACATAAAAAACACGTACACGCAAGAGTTCAAGGATGTGCAGGGACGCTGGGACAAGTTAAAGCTCAAGATTTCCAAAGATGTTAAACTACTGGAGGAAATTATGCCCAAGTTGAGACTATTTGAGGTAAAATGAAAGGATTTTTTTTTTTTTTGGCTTACATAACTCAGTTGCTTTATAGACCTTTCTTTCTCAGTGTTCCTGCAGGAGTCCAGATGAAACTGATTGAAAAGCAGAATTTTGATGATCCACTAGTCTAGCAGAGGCTGAAAGCATATATAGTATATTTGTAGCAACATAGAAGTGAAATTCTAATGTGCCCAGGATATTATTTTGTCTTCTGACAGAAATACTTTGCACTTAAAATTAGTGTCCCTCTCTTTTTATAAGCAAAGGTTAGGCTAAGGTCAAGGATATGCCAGCTGTGCTGTTAATCCCAGTAGGGGCTGATGATCTTCAGTGTGATTGGTGTCAGATGCCCACTAGTCTTAAAGTGTAATTCCATGCCTGCTACAGAAAACCTGCTCCTTCAAATAAGGTTTTGGTGAACAGCCATGAAGAATTAGTACAAGGACATTAGGAAAGGGAGTAAGGAAAATGCTTGGGTATAGTGACTTTTCTAGTTCCAGACATGGCCTCTGAAGTGACAGGAAGGACAGTTTAAACATTAAGGTTCCTCAGCCCTCCTGCCTACTTTATAAATATATACACATGCCTATGAAATCCTTCAAGACAGAAAATCCCACTGTTCTGAGAACAGAATTATGTCCTGAGCAAGATGCTAGAAACTGTCCTGTTATATTAAAAGGAGTTACAGAAGCCAAAAAAGACATTATAGCAGAATAAACAATGGAAGCAATTATTAAATAGTTGCTTTATTAATATTAAACTATTATTGTAATTATTAAGTTACTGAAAATGAAAGAAATACCTGCTGATGCTATCTCTTGAAATATGGGGCTTACATTGTGTTGTCTTATGAACTGTATTTTTGAGTACACAATTCTTGTGTTTTTTAAATGTTTTGTAAAGTTGTCAGTGGATGGACAGTTATGTTATATTCCCTGAATTTTCCTTTGGTACTTTTCTATATTGAGATTTTTGTAGTGCAATACTACACTACATATTTATACTGTAGTGTATAAATAATAATGGCAGTCTGGAACAAGTTGAATAAAAACACTGTGGACAACACTGGGCACACCAGGATGTAACTTGTACTGCAGGAAAGATTGGTACGGCAGTATGGTCCTGGTGCAGACACCAAACACAAGATTAGTTTGGAAAATGGCTGGGCAGGATCTCCTTGGCTAAAAAGGAGTTGAAGCACCTGGCTATTAAAGGGGAAAAAAGTTTACATGGGGAGGAAAAAAAAGTGTATGTCAGTGCTTGGAGGACATATGGCAAGTATTAGTTTATTTTTAATGTTTGGGGTTTTTTTTCTCCTAAATCCTCTTTAAAAATTGATGTTTCCCAAAACAACACTCCTCACATTTAGGTTTTTGAAAAGAAACAGTGTAAATATTTTCATTTTAACAGTGAGCAGACAGGTTCACAATGACTAAAATGCTCTTGTTGGCCTGATAAGTATGCCAGTGGCAGATCTGCCTGTGTGTCCTGCTGCTTAGGTAGTTCTGTTATTTGTGGTGTGATACAGGCTCCCCCAAGCTGACAGTGCATGCATTAGTGACATGAACTGGGAGTAATGTTTTACTAGGAGACTGTAATACTCATGTGATGGGAGGAGTAGACAAGGCTCATTTTATCAGTTTTGCATCTTGTTTTTCCTAGAATAAATTTTCTTTATCTTGTATTCTGTTATCATACCTCTAGTAATGTATGGCTTTCTGTGTCTTTGCTTATGTATCACTCTCAGATCTTTTAAATCTGCTGCATGGCTGTACATCATGTGGTTTTTCTAGGAGTGAACAAGTTAAGATTCAGCATATTTAATCTTTGTTCCTGCCTGGAATAAATGTCAAAAACTGATCCTGAAGAAGTGAAGCTCTATAAGGAAGACCTTATAGCAGCATTCCATTACCTAAAGGGAACCTTCAAGAGAGATGAAGGAGAACTTTTTACATGGGCTTGTGGGGACCTGAAGAAGTGAAGCTCTATAAGGAAGACCTTATAGCAGCATTCCAGTACCTAAAGGGAACCTTCAAGAGAGATGGTGAACTTTTTACATGGGCTTGTGGGGATAGGACAAGGGATAATGGGCTCTTAACTGAAAGAGGGTAGGTTTAGATTGGATTTTAGGAAGAAATTCTTTACTGTGAGGGCAGTGAGACACTGGAACATGTTGTCCAGAGAAGCTGTGGATGCTTCATTCATGGAAGTGTTCAAGGCCCATTTGGATGGGGTCTGGTGGAAGATGACCCTACCCATGGCTGGTGGGTTGGAACTGAATGATCTTTGAGGTCTAGTCCATCCCAGACCATTCTATGACGAGGATCTTCATGTCTAAAAATTGTGAACTCTTGTACATCAACAGCCTACACTGGTTATTTGACCACTGATAATTATTTACCTGTGCCATGCAGAAGCATTTACTTAATTAAACTTTGTAGGCTTGGTTTGTGATTCAGCAAGTTATTTAAATGTGTCTAACTTTGAGTAATCCCATTTAATTCCCTTCAGCTACTTATGTAAATAGCTTATTGTAAAAATGCTAAATTAGTTGTGCCTTGTCAAAAGGCAGCCTTTATATATATTTTTTATTTTTGCACTAAGCTATGGTTCACTGTTAAGCATCATAGGGTCTGTTTTTTTGAAAATTATTTTCAGGCTAATCATCTGCAGGAAATTCCCCCAAAATGGAAAAGGAATGAAGAAAATGTCATGACTTTGACCTCTAATGGTAGCATTGATCTAAAAATAAACATGGACTTAGTCTAATGGGTTTTCATTAATGCAGACATTTTTTGAGAAACAGTGTGTTACATATTGATCCTGAAAACACTGTTAGTGTAAGGTTTTTAAGAAAATGAAGTGTATACTTTCCTCCTCTGTGACATGCAGAGTAGAAGGTGAAGCTGATGAGCTGTGCTGTGATGAAGATTGTGTCAGGATAGATGACATCTATTAAAAACTCCAACCAAAGAGTCACAAAATGTTGAGTGAAGGAAGTCCAGCTATATTAATAAAAAATGTCAGCCACCTAAGTCATTTGAACCAGGGGAAATAAGATCCCTCTTTGTGTGTTGGTTTTGTTTGTAAGGATGATTTGGAACATCCATGACTGCATGGGAAGGAGATGGCAATGCTTCTGTCTCCTTCCCTTCCTACCTCATTGCAGGATATAAGGCAACTGCCATTTGTTAGATCACGTAATTCTGAAATTGTGTGTGTTTATTTTTTCCCCCAAGAGTTACTCTTGTGAGTACAGTATTGTACTACTGGCCTCAAACATCTATGCTGTTTTTTTAAGATTTTAGTGGTTTGTCTGATCCTCTGTTTTTTTTATGTTTGTCTTGCTTATGCAAATGGCTTTTCCAGCATGGTTTCTACCTGAAAAGTACATTTACCACTATCCACTCCTCTTTTCCATATATTGTTAAAAATAGGGCCCTCTCTTTTCCTTCAGAGTGCAGTTTTCAAACAAGTGTGGAAACAATAATTCATTTTTTTAGTCATAGTTTTTAGGCATATTTCCAGCCTTCAGCCAGGTCCTTCATGTGAAGAGTAACCACATAATTCTTGAAGCCATGCTCTCCTCCTTACCTGAGGAGGAGTACACCTCCGTACTTCGGTGTGATAGATAGCCTGGAACAGTTCAGTGTCATTTAAACCATGCTCTGGTCAATGGAAGGATATCACTATTGTGAATTTAATATTCATAGAGATTTGAGAAGTGAGAAATTTGGGATGCCCCTCTTCCCCCCAGAAAGCCCAACAAAACAAACCCAAAAATTAAACAAAAGTTGGTCTGATTCAAAATGAAGGCAATGCCAGCAGCTTGTAGAACACCTTTTGCAAGCTGCTGGAAGTTGAAATGCAACAGCCATACGTTCTTCGTCACAGAAATGTATCAACTGTTCCTTACTATATTTGATTTAGACTGACTCTAAAGTTGTTCAGAAGTGGATGGATGGTGTGAAAGACTTCTTAATGACAGAAAAGGCTGTTCAAGGGGATACTGAAGGACTTCAAAGGCAACTTGACCAGTGCACAGTGAGTTTTGCTTTTCTAAGGAGTCTTCTGAAATAGCAAGTAGTATCTCTTCTTTAATATTGTGCTTGTATTATTAAGTACTGTTCATAGCATGTTAAGACCACCAGAAAAATTGTTTTATCTTTCTTCAGGGCATGTTTGAGTTGGTTTCTTTTTTTGCAGCTGTAATATTTTGTGCTTTTCAAAGGTCTTCACTGTAGTTATAAATATTTATCTACAAGTTGGCATTATTTGCTCTATTAAAGGTTCATATATTTTTCCCAATTTTTTGTTACAATGGAATTGAATCTGTGGGTGAAAAGTGCCTTCTGCATTAAATCTCCAAGGGTAATAAAAGTAAGAAGGAATTAACTGATGAAAGTCCTAGAGATTAAAATTTTGCAAGGAAGATTCCTGGCTAGTCAGTGTCACAAAATGATCACATTTATGTAGAATTCTGTCTTATAGTAAGTAGTTACAGTGTACCTTCAACTGTTTGTTTTCAGGCGAAGAATATAAATTGAGGTGCACCAGAAATAGAAGAATACTTAGTGCATGCAATCTTCAAACTTGTGTTGTTTTGATGTTGACATTTGGCATATGAAAATGTTTACGCTGTGTGTGGCAAGCTGTACTTTGTTCTTTAGTTGCATACTTCTGATATTTTGAATCTCTGAAGGATTATTTTAAGCAGTCTGGTATTGATCTGATCACAGTATTGATCTGCTCCAAAAACTTATTCTGGAATAATGAAAAGTTGCAAAATTATTGATACTGTTATAAATTAATGTAAAATCTTGCTGAAGAACAAAATTCATTTTCTCTGATGTGTGTTCAGGTGTTTATCAATGAAATGGAGACAATTGAACCATCACTGAAAGAGATGAAAGAAGTAGAGGCTGCTTTAAGAGCTCAGCCTATTGCGAGCATAAATACTTGGACAAAGTCTAGGCTAGTAGACTGCCAGACTCAGTGGGAGAAGCTGAGCAAACAGGTGAGTTCTCCACATGTTGCTAGTGCTTGCTTGTTACAGCAGCTGCCTGGTTGTGTGGCATTGTGAGGAGGTGAAGCAGTAGAACAGTGGGATGAGGATGTTTTACTTGTTTCACTGTCAAAGTAGCTGAAGCCCAACTTGAATACATGTATTTCGTGGTACCTGACTGGAAGGAGCAAAATAAACTCTATAATAGTTTGTAATTAAAAATTAATTTGTTCACTTGGCATTATGCTGCTCTTTCTGGAGAGTGTGGGAGGAAGATCTGACCTCTTTTTCTTATTTCTGAAGACTGGAATATTATGCCGTCCCTGTATAATTATTATTGGTTTCCAAGCAGCTTTGAAAAATAAAAAGCTATAAATAGGCTACCACTCCAGTGTATTTGGTTGTTTCTTTTGGGTGGAAGCTTTCTGCTGTCAGTAGAAACATATTTATTTTGTTGCAATTGCTGATGAAAATCTGTGCTAGAGAGCCTTGCTGTTGATATAGAATCCAGAGTATCTGGGTTGTGGAAACAAGTGAGGCCTGAAGAGTGTTTTATTGCTCAGTATAATGGTATATCTAACTATATGATACTTGTAATCAGAAGAGGATTTTATTCTGACTGACTTTTTCCAGGGATTGTTACCAGTTTATGTTCAATAAAGGGGAAAAAAAAAGGTCATACTTCTCCTTCCCTCACTTTTAGATTTTGTTGATCTGCTAAAAAGAGTTCATAAGTTTGTGCGTGCATGTAAAAATGCTTTGTTAATTAAAAAGGCCTGAAAATATTTTGGTAGTAAAATATTTTAACAAAGACTTGTGGTTTTTCACATGTACAAGGACATTTAAGTGACAAAGCTGCTCTTTCTTCCTCCACCTTGGATTCTAGATCATTAGTCAGAAAAATCGCCTGTCTGAAAGTCAGGAAAAAGCTGTAAATCTGAAGAAGGATTTGGCAGAGATGCAAGAATGGATGACCCAAGCTGAAGAAGAATATTTGGAGAAAGATTTTGAATACAAGTCCCCTGAAGAGCTAGAGAATGCAGTGGAGGAAATGAAGGTCAGTAATGCCAGCTCATTGTAGAGGTCTGATTAAAGAGAAACAGAACTTTACAGCTTTGAGGGTTGACCTTTTATGGAATTATATTTGTGGAAAGGAGCTCAGGTCATGACAAGATTAGTGGTATTTTTCATCTTTGCTTTGTGGAATTTTTGATTTTTAAAGCATAAACTGTAAAAGCAGATGTTCTTTTTGACCATGAGGGATAGGGAGTTCATAATAAATAACAGCTTGCTCTGTTGTTGAGTTAGGCTTTTTATGTATGGCATATTAAACATTAGGAATATGGGAAAATTTTGCAGGAGACAAAGCTTGAGAAAGGTATAGTGTCATCTTTTATTTCTAGCTAAATTAGTGGTTGTGAAAACATTCGTCTGCTTCTATCCCTTGGACCTCAGTTTCTTGTCCCCTAAATATTGTAACTCCACATTTAGAAAATCACTTTAAAATAGGTATGTTGTAAGGTGATCGTGTGTTCATCATCAGTTGCAAACAGTGATTTTTTTTTAATATCATGAGTTGGAAGAGATCCACAAGTATCAGTGAGTGATATTGGTCCCCGCTTCTCTTTATTTTGAGTGTGGTGGCCAAGTAAAAGGAGAGGAAGGAGATATTTTTGTCTCATTAGAATATTGTCAGTTGGAACAGATAATTTTCTTGGATATATGTACAGAGTAAATTGTTCCCTGCTTTTTAATCTAAGAGTTCAGTCATATCTTCATAAATATTTTTATTTGTGTACACTTTTTAAATGAGTATCCACTATACTGTTACTTGATGGATGATTAGAAGAAAAATTCTCTCTTACAAGTGCTTTAACAAAGCCATTTGAAGTTTTGAATTGTCCCTTTTGAAGGGCTTTTCTGAAGCAGTCCTTAACAAGAGTTTTAATATATTCATGTCCTTTGAAGCCGCTTGAGATCACATAGTCTGACAGCTGGCTGAACACAAGCCAAGCAAAGAAAGAGCCTTCTTTTCATTGGCAAATCTGTGAGACTTTTAGTACATTTACCTTTGTCAAATCCAGATTATATTATGTATATTATGACAGTTATGTCAGTGAGCCTGTCAGCTTATTGTAACACTTAAAATGCCCTTTCATTTGCAGTAACAATATTATCCTGGAACTACTTTTAGGACAGGGAAGAAGCACTCTCTGGATTTGGCTCGTTTCTGCATATACTCTCATTTGAACAGAGAGTGGAACTCTTGCTGACAGGAGGAAATAGTTTAAGGAAGAATAAGTTTAAGATAAGGCTGTGTGGTTTTTGAAAATCCTGCCATAAAATATATTTCCAAAATTTTCTATTCTTTGCCCTTCTATTAACTGACTCTTTTATTGCCCTATGTTTAGAAGACATCTTGAAATATACAAAAATTGTGCTAAATTCTACTGTGTAGTGCAATGCCTTATTTATCAGAGGTATTTCAGTTTCATAAAATTGTTCTTGAAACCTGAAAAGAAAGATAGAGAACAGTCTCTGTTTCTGAAGCCTTTTATTTGTTTCAGCAGGGAGACTCAGACTGGTCTGCCTGATGTCTTCCAGTTATCCTTCTTCCTCAGTTCTGGCTAAGGCAAAATTTGACAAGTAATAATACAGTTTCTCCAGACCTGTGTGTTGGCAGTTGTACTGTACTTATCCTGTATATGTGTTGCCAGGTTCCTCTTAGTGTAGTTAGATTGAAGGAATTCTTCTAGCTGTCCATTTTCTGTGTTCCTTGAGCACACCCAACAGCTGTGAGGGTGGTTCCAGCTTTGTAATTGCATGTGTCCGGGGTACTTACGTCATCCTTCCTGGATAAATTTGGGAGATAGTTACTGAGCTCTGAGACACGTCACTTCTGTAAATTCACCCTACCTTTTTCTTCCTGATATACTTGTTTTTAGCAAACATCTATTTTTTTTCTTGCTAATTTGTTTTTCATATTTGCATGATAACATAGAAATAGCACTGAACTTAATTTTCTTTTTTGCTTTGAGTCATGAGTTTTTTTTCAATGAACAAACCATGAATGGTAAATAGATCCGTATGCTTAATAAAACAGGATCTTTCACCACTTGCTGACATGACCTGAATTCCATGCAAATTAGTGCTGTATTTTGTTGTGTTCAGGCCCAAGAAATACATTGGCAGCAAGACCTCCAATGTGAAACTGCTTATCTTTGATTTGAGTGGTGAGTAGCTGAGTGTAAGGCAATTGAAGGTTGATAGTGTAATATGTTTTTTTGACAGAGAGCGAAGGAGGATGTGTTGCAGAAGGAGGTGAGGGTGAAGATTCTCAAGGACAACATCAAGATGTTGGCCACCAAAGTGCCATCCAGTGGTCAGGACCTGGCGACTGAGTTGAATGTTGTGCTGGAGAACTACCAGCTACTGTGCAATCGGATCCGGGGGAAATGCCACACTTTGGAGGCAAGAATGATAGCTCTCTGCTTAGAAATATCTGTTCAATTCCTTTATTGATGTTCTGGATGAGGGTATCAAGTCTACCTTTAGTAAATTTGTGGATGACACCAAGTTGGATGGGAGTATTGATCTGCTGGAGGGTAGGAAGGCTCTGCAGAGGAGTCTGGACAGGCTAATTTGGTAGGCTAAAGCCAAAGGTATGAGGTTCAACAAGCTCGAGTACCAGGTGCTGCGCTTGGGTAAAAACAACAACCCCATGTAGTGCTACAGCCTGGGGAAGGAGTGGCTGGAAGATGTCCAATGAAAAAAGGATCTGAGAATGCTGATACTCACCCACAGAATGTGAGCCAGCAGTGTGCCCTGGTGGCTCAGAATGGCATCTTGGCATGTGTTAGAAATAGTGAAGCCAGCAGGGCTGGGGAAGTGATTGTCCCTCTGTACGCACTTGGTGCTGGTGGGGCTGCACCTGGAGTGCGTTGTCCAGTTCGGGGCCTCTCACGAAAGGAGGACATTGGGGTGCTGAGAAGGGCAGCAAAGCTGATTGGAAGGTCTGGAGCACAAGTGCTATGAGGAGTTCCTGAGAGAGCTGGGAATATTTAGTGTGGAGAAAAGGAGGCTGAGGGGTGACCTTATTGCTCTCTATGACAGGAAAGTGTACCCAGGTGGGGTTTGGCCTCTTCTCTGAGGCCAGTGACAGGATGAGAGGAAATGGCTTCAAGCTGGTCCAGAAGAGGTTTATGTTGGGTATTGGGAAGAATTTCTTCACAGAAAGAATGATTAAACGTTGGAATGGGCTGCCTAGAGAGGTGGTGGAGTCACTGTCCCTGAAGGTGTGTAAGGCAATAGTGGATGTGGCATTTAGTGCTATGGTCTTGTTGCCAAAGTGGTGTTTGGTCACAGTTTGGCTGGATGATTTCTCAGATCTTCTCCGACTTAAGTGAGTCTGTGATTTTGTAAAATGAAGGCAGGTGGCACAGACCGGAGTGGAGAAGGACACTGAAAATTTCCGAATACAGTAGCTTCAGCATAAATGCATGTTACTCCTTTCCAAGATTACTTTCCCTTGAAATTATGTATTTGGAATCCATGAGACACCATCTAGCTTTGTTTTTATAGTCCTAAAATTTGCTTCTGCAAATAAGTGAACTTGTCTCCCAGATCTGATACCGGTCTTTGTGTCTTCTCAAATGGCAAAAAGGAATTTACCAAAAATTAAAGGTCGAAATCCAAAAATAATTAGAACAACAGATAATGGTCTGGGGTAGAGTGTGTGTATGTGTCCTGTCTTTCAAAAAGGATCAGATCTATTTTGTTACATTCTTACATAGTTATATGAATCTTTATATCAGTGATAGTTTTAACACAAGTTTACAGACTGTTGTGCTCCTTTCTCTGTATCTTCCTGATAGAGATGCATGTTTTTGTATCTAGGACATACTGTACTGTGACATGTAACTTAATATTTTCTACTTCTCTCTTTTAGGTGATTTCTCAGACATAAATCTTTAAGTTGTTCATAGGGTATGTGAGCGATGCCTGGCATTCTAGGCTAATTTTTTTCTTTTCTGTTGCTCCTAGGAGGTGTGGTCCTGTTGGATTGAACTGCTTCAGTATCTTGATTTAGAAACAGCTTGGCTAAACAATCTGGAAGAAAGAGTGCAAATGACAGGAAATCTGCCTGATAAATTGGATGCTGTCAATGATGCTCTTGAGGTATTATAATGATTCTATCAGATGAGTAATTTTTCAGATAGCTCTGTTTAAAAAAAAACTAAAATTCTGCACTTCAGTAACATACTGAAATGTGCTGAATATTCTGATTCTTCACATTGTATGAACATACTCATCTGAATTGAAAATGGAGATTTGTAAGATTCTCCACCAAAAGTGGACTTCTACTTTGTGATAGTGCCATACTGTGATAAAATTGTATGCTCTCTCCTGGCCTGTGTAGATTGGTTAAGTCCTTCCAGGGTTTTGTAGTAGTATGAAATTATGAGAGTAGGCAAAAAGTGCTGTGAAGTTTAATAATTAAAGTAAAATCACCTCTGTGGCATAATGCCATGTGCCATTATGAATTAACTGATAACGATAACTGATTTATGCTTTTAGAGCACTCTCAAGACAGTTGAAGTGTTAAAGTTATGTATACAACCAGATTTCCAGCTCTGAAAATACAGTAATATTCAGTGTCTTGACCTTTAAAACTTTTTCTAACTAGTCCCTGGAATCAGTCCTGCGTCACCCAGCTGATAATCGAACCCAGATTCGGGAACTTGGGCAGACATTGATTGATGGAGGGATTCTTGATGACATCATCAGTGAAAAATTGGAAGCTTTCAATGCCCGCTATGAGGAATTGAGTCACCTGGTAAGAACTTGGGGTGAGGATTGAAGTAGATTGGATTTTTTCAGCTCAAGTTTGAAATTATTCTTCTTAGCTGAATTCAAAGATGCCAGACTGCAATAGAGGAAAAGAATAAATGGAATAGCATCAGTGGTGTCAGCTGTTTTCAATTGGTAAAAATATCCAAAGAGCAAGATGCTTTTCTGTTTTTCATTACATGAGTGAAATTTGTTTTGCAAGCTTGCACTGCAGGGATGCCCTGGTATTTTTTAGCTGATTTTGACAAAAAGGCAATTCTAAAATCATGGAACAGCTCAATATTCACAACTTAATATTGCCTTGCTACTGCCATAAATACTGGTGATTTTCTCACTAACTGTAAAATGAGGAGTGTGACATTTTCACTCCTAGGAAGAAGTAATGCTGAAACAAAGAACAGAAGGAAAACATTCTTCTCATTACTTATCTATTAAGTTGTCCTCTTCCTCTTCTCCTACTTCAGACTAGTCTTTTATAGATTTAATAACTAGAGGAAGACTAGCTGTATTTCTGGTAGCACAGGTTTGAATTTGTGTTCTGCTAATACAGGCCCCTGCCAAATTGTAGGATGGGAGTTTTCTGTCACTGATGAAAAATGTAATGACAGAGGGAATTTTAGTTCATCCTCATTACAATGAGCGACATGAATGCAGTGCCCTCAGCTGGGGGCTATGTGCTGGCATTTAAGTTAGCATTGACTGCTGCTTTTCCTGTTACAACAGGATTGTCATATAAAAACCTGTTTGCTTTGGCAGCTGCAGCCCCGAGCTTTTGACAGCTCTCCACATCTGTGTGTGTGCACATGCACAGGTCTGTGCATGCACGTGCTGATAGAAGGGAATTCGTGTTCCTGTACAGGTAGTGACATTTCAGATGCTGTTAAAGGAAGAGGCAATAAAGGGAAAAAACTGTCAGCTTCTGTTTTGACAGTATAACCAAATGAGTTTATTGTTTTGAAAGGAAATGTGAGTACTAACAATGTGAATATCAAACAGCATTGATCTGTGTCTAGTGTGAAATTCCTGTTTCCCATTGAGCAGCTGGTTTTTCAAACTGGTGTGGTTTTAGCAGAACACTTTCTTCCTGAGGTAGTAGGAGAGGTGTGTTTTTGGTAACTCATGTGTATCTAGCAGCAGAACCCTCCTTCATTCCACTGTTTGTCAGTTACTGGTTCAGAAGCCACAGCAAGCTTCAAAAAGTGCTGCTTTCTAGGATTCTTTTTAGCCAATCTTCCAGGCGTAGGATCTTTTCTGGTCTGTCCTCCTTGTTTTGAGGAAGTCTTCTATGATTTGTATTGAATTATTGCTGCATTTTGTCTTACCTTTCTGTCCTGCTCAGGCGGTGAGCCGACAGATCGCCTTGGAACAACAGCTTCAGACCATGCGAGAAACCGACCACATGCTGCAGGTCTTGCAGGAAAGTTTAGGAGATCTGGATAGACAGCTGACATCTTACCTGACTGACAGGATAGATGCCTTTCAGATGCCTCAGGAGGCCCAGGTATTTCTGTATAGCCCTTCACTATGAAACTTTTGAAAATATTTGATGATAGTGCTCAGTCTAGGCTTAGTAATAAATTTCAGTCCTGTGCTGATGCAATAGGTGTTATCTTCTGTAATTTTGAGTGTTTTTTTTTTAAAGAAGGTTGTCTTGAATAACAGCAGTTTGCAATTTAGCAAGCTGTCACCAAAGGCAGAATATTTAAAATAAACCTGGTGATGTTTAAGTTTTACAGGTTAGATTTACTTCTGGTTGGTGGTAAGAAAGTTCCCCTTCCTCTCTCTGCAAGCAATTTTGTAATGTATTTTTTTTTCTGCTTCTGTGATATGGCAGAAAATTCAAGCTGAGATTGCAGCTCATGAATCCACCTTAGAGGAGCTGAAGAAAAGTGCTCGCTCTTTCCCTCCTGCTTCTCCTGAATGCAGGTCTCCCCGTGGTGGAACTCAGCTGGATGCTTTACAGGTAAAGACATGAAAGTCACCCTTATGCACTGCTGTGTCAGCCTGTAAATTGTTTGGTGGAGTCAGATGGACCTCAGAAGAAAATAGTGTGTGCTTTCATAAGGAAACAAACAGCCATAAATGAGTTGAACAAGGAAACTTAAATTTCACAAATGTCATAGGATAAGTGGAAAAGTCAGCAAGTCTCTGTGTATGAGTAGAATGGGTATTTTCAAAGCATGTGATACGGAATTACATCTCTTGCACTTCAGGCAGAGATAAAGAATAGGCGATGGCACCATTATTTGCCAAGCCGCAGTTCTATATATATTGATTTGTGGTGGCATGATGGGTTATAATCAGTGGTGTGAGATTCTTTAAAGGTTATTTTTTGAAGTGCAGGTACTAATTTTAAACAATCTTTCAACGTAATATTCCTTAAAACAGAGAAAGCTCCGTGAAGTATGTACAAAGTATCAGCTTTTCCAGAAACCAGCCAATTTTGAGCAGCGCATGTTAGATTGCAAGCGGGTGTTGGATGGTGTAAAAGCAGAACTTCATGTCTTGGATGTGAAGGATACTGACCCAGATGTAATCCAAACTCACTTGGAGAAGTGCATGGTATGTATCCAATGTTCATGACTCATGCTAGGGGGTGCTTCTTTTTCTTCTAGTTCTTGTTGCTTAAACTTAAAGCAAAGGAAATTTTGCTTTAAGTCATCATGGAAATATTTCAGCTCATTGGAAAGTGCTAACAGAGCACTTGATAACTAAAAACCTCATATTCTTGTAGGACATAAAACCAGTGGGCTGTCAATCATAGATATGATGGAACAGCTAAGTTTTATAAACTCTCTTGCCTGGTTCATCTTTGTTCAGGAGAAGCATCACAGTCGTTAGTATTTGAACAAAACAAATACTAAGATGAAGTACAGATCACAATATTAGCCTTACAGTAAACGCTGTTAAATTATTGATCTCAAGTTTTGAAAATAAAAACTAGAATAAAATATTATCAGGATATTTATCAGAATACACTATCATCAGGAGTTGGGAATCTTCTTGTCAGATATTGCTGTTAATTAATAAATCAGAGTTTAAGTGCAATTTGAAGTTAAGGTCCTCAAAGGAAGCAGAGTCAGAAAACCACTACAAATCGATCACCAATATACCTATTTGTCCATTTAGAAACTCTATAAGACCCTCAGTGAGGTGAAATTGGAAGTTGAAACTGTCATCAAGACAGGAAGGCAAATTGTACAGAAACAACAGACGGATAATCCTAAAGGGATGGATGAACAACTGACAGCACTGAAATTTCTTTACAATGACTTGGGGGCACAGGTAAGAAAAATAAATGTACGAATATGTGTCTGCATGTCATTTCTCTTCTTGGCTGTTAGATGGTGTTTTAAGTTTTATTCTAAAGCTGATAGTATGTAAGCTAGTTGCTGCATCCAGGAGCAATCAGTTGAGATATTAAATGTTACACACACTACCTTGGAAGAGAGGTAGCCTTGAAGAAAGGAAGGCTCACAGAGTTTTGATTGCCCTGGCAAAGCTGACTAAACATTCATTAAGGTCCTTTAAGATAATTGATGGTCAGATTGTCACGTGAGAAATGTAAGTCAACCTGAGGTTTTTTGGGTGTCATTATGGTTTTGAATTGTAGTCCATCTAAATAGTTGCTCTCAGTGTGAAATAGAAAATGCAGGCAAACATGTATTTCCCATGAACTGCATTAAATATTGCAAAATTTTCTTATTAGGTGAATGTTTACTTATCCAAGAGAAGTGTTTAAAAATGGTTAAACCCTTACTGGGCAGGTACGACTCTCTACTTAAATTAAGATGGAATCCCAAGTAGATTTATGTTTGTTCAGTGATGCATGAATTAAGCTGGGGGTAAAGATGACAGTGTTGGAGTGTCTTGGAATGTGTCCTGGGAAATATTGTGCAGTTAAGAATCTGAAAATGTCCAGGAAGCTGTGGATTCTAGAAGGCACGTAGACAAGAGATTAGGAAAAGGTAGAAAGGCAGTTACTTGCAGTATAGTGTTACAATTTTTCTTTCTGAGCAGAGAACAGAGCACAATTTTTTGACTATGATGCTTGGAGTTCTTCTCAAGTCTGTGTTTAAATCTTACCAGACTAATTGCGTAACTGGTGTGAAATGCAAATTATTTTACTGCGACAAACATCAAATTTCATGTTTATTTGACTGATGTTTTTAAGGGCAGACTAGATTTTCAGTGAAATTTTTCTTTATGATTTTCTGCTAGGAAATTACTAGGAGGCATTGAATTTTACCTGTGTGAGCGACTAGTTTCTACAGTCCTTGAGTTTCAGCTAAAGGATCAAAATAAAGTGATAGGCATCAGTTTGGTGATTGCTAGCTATAAATAAATTGGTATACAGGTTTCTTTATCTGCTTTAGAAGTATCTCAAAATTATTTGTATGTATTCATGTTGTATAGTAAGATACTTACAAACTTGCCTTTTAGGATCCTTCTTTAAAGCAAGACAGTTTTAAGATACAAAGATTTTATATATTTAGGTGGATATTTTAGCTAGCTAGCACTTTCACATTTGCTATCTTTTAAAATGTATTTTTTTATTTCTTTCCTCTTTTTTTTTTCTTTTTCTTTCTTTTTTCTTTTGTAGGTAACAGAAGGAAAACAAGACCTGGAAAGAGCAACTCAGCTGGCACGCAAAATGAGGAAGGAGTCTGCCTCTCTGTCAGAGTGGCTGGCTACCACTGAAGCTGACCTCGTGCAGAAGTCCACTTCAGAGAGCTTGCTTTCTGATCTAGATTCAGAAATTGCCTGGGCCAAAGTAAGCATGCTTACTAAATATTGGTAGAAAAAATTTCTGACATTATGGCAGTACTATGTAGAAGTGGCTGTGAATTTAAACTTAGTAACTTCTTAAATCTCCCACATCCTGAAATTTTAGTAGAGTCAGTAGTTTATGTTCAGTACCTTACTGAGTCCGATCTGTTTCATCTCAGGCATTTTGCATCAACCTTAAATGCCAGTGAAATATTTAAGATATTACTACATACTTGGTACTAATGGGTATTTAAGATTTACTGTATCTCTTACACATTTCACAATTATAATATTCTTAAAATTATCAGCAAATATAATTCTGGACTAGATCAAATATTTTCCTAGTAGAGCAAACTGAAAGTGCATTGAATGAAAAGTGCATTGAATGAAAAATTGAGTTTGTAACTTTTCATTGAAACAACTTTGTCTTCAAAATTGTGACTTTGCAAAATAAGAGGCTACTGTAATTCCGTATTTTCTTTCACTTACAAATTGAAGCTTTTAATTGAAACAGGCAAATGTGTTAGTTTCTTCAGTGTAGTTATATTTTCTCACTCTATAGAAATTTGGATATTACTAGGAGTTGGCAGCAAGTGTCAGTTGATACAATTCAGCAGTATTGACCTCTCCAGTTTTTGCTTTCTGTCACCTTTTACTTGTGGAATGGGTCTGTCTGCAGTCTTGAAACTGGAAAGCTCACCAAATTCCAAACTCATCTAATGTAACGTTCTCAGGCATTTCAACCAGGATTAGAAATTATTAGTGCTAGAATTTTGCTGTGGCAGTATCCCCCTGATTCCTCTCCAAACAAACTTCTGAATCGTTGGAAGTATACCATGTATTTGTAAGCCATGCAAGTAACAACTCTCGTGCTGCACCACCAGGAGGCCAAGTTCTATATGTTGCATACAAAGTTGTCCTTTCTGTTTTCAAGTTTTCTAGAGGCAATTTTAAAATGTAGTAGGTTGAGTATTTGTTTCTGTTTCTAAGATGATAAGTTATGATAAAATAATAAGTTACTTAATAGATAGTATGTTCAAGGAGCTCCAGATGCTGGCTGTGATTAAGTGTATTCTTCACTACACTGTACACTGACATCAAAGAACTTTCTAAGTAGGCAGATATCATCCATAAGAATTGGTAATCTTGTATGGCAAGAGAGGACATATTGCTTAGTTTGCATGTCAGCATTCATACTTTCAAAAAAGGTGTGGTTTTTAGATTTAAAAAAACTGTTTAAAAGCAAAGATGACTTGGAAAAAAGGGTAGAGCTAAAGATACATGTATTTAAATTTATGTATTATATAGCCACTGAATTGAACATCTGCAGTTATGAGTTGTGATAGTTTTCAAAAAAATATTTAGCTTTGGCCTACCATGTTTCTCTTTGTTGCCAACTGTAAAAGTACTTTAATAGGAAAAGATACAGAGGATTCCAGAGTGTCTCTTGGAATTTGTGTTTTATGCTTTACAATGCAGAAAAAAGCCTTTTAAAAATGGATTTGCAATGTAGTGTGATGTATTTGCATTACCTACATAATGAAAAGAAACGGTGAAGATGATCTAAGATAACAAACCAAAAGAGTCCCTAAGTTGTTCAGGACACTTATATGCATTGTGTTCTCACTCTCTCTTAAAAAATGAGATCACTACCTACAGAGAGTCACTGTAAACAGAAGGCAATTGCACTTGGTGTAATTCTTTCCACAAGTGAAGGTCATCTACAATATATTTCCTGTGGAGGTAAAAATTTTCCTCCCTTGTGTTGGGGAGCAGTGTGCTTTTAATGGCTGAACCTGTTTCAGAGTGTGCTGAGAGAGCTGGAGAGGAGGAAGGCTGATCTGAAGAGCATCACAGAAAGTTGCACTGCACTCCAGTCTCTGGTGGAAGGGAGTGAGACTGTCCTGGAGGAGAAGCTGTGTGTCCTTAATGCTGGCTGGAGCAGAGTTCGAACCTGGACCGAGGACTGGTGTGACACCTTGTTGGTAAGTTGCACGCATGAGAAATATTCAGGGTAGCTCTCCTTCCACCTCTTAGGGGCAGTTGGGATTTTCACTTGTCTCACTTTACTGTAAAGTGAAGCTTCCATGCTGCGTCATGGACTTAAAAGAATGTGGAATGGATATCTGTTTATGGTGTAGATGGAGAGGTAAGTCATAAGGATGATGGAAAACTGGGCACCTGCATGTGCTGCTCTTTATTGAGCCTGAATATTCAGCCTCTGTGCCAGCTCCCAACATGAACAGTGGGTTTGTGTTGATAGATTTTCTTGAGATCTGGATGTTGGCTATTTAATGGACAATGGATAACTTCATAGTAGTGTTCAGAAAAGCACTTCTGACTATGTCAGCCTATTGCTCTTTGGTCTTGGACAGACCATAACTGCAAGTGTTCGAGTATGGCAACAGCATCTCTTTGGCTGATTAAATGAAAGTCCAATCATATTATACACCTAAAGCTGCTAATTAAGCTAAATGGACATGAAACAGTCTGAAGCTGATACTAGTATGAGACTGATGCTTTTATATAAATAAGATAGTTTGGTGTTAAGCTGGTTATGACAATCAACTCATATCAGGGACCTCCAAAGGAGGGAGTCGTGGGAACTTTACTGTATACATTGATGGTCAGCCCTGTGCCTCCTGTCCAGTGCCTGTTGAAGGTGATAGTGTTAATTTTGTAATCCAATTCCATTGGATTAGGAGTAGTCAGGTAGTTTACCTTTATGTGTAAATGCTTTAAGGATGATGCATAACTAAATACTTCTAGATTATGTTAATATTACAAGTATTGTCTATGCTCGCTATATCAATATCAAGAAATTTATAGCTCCATGTAGCAAAAAAACAATTTAACCTTACAAAGCACAATCAGGCCTTCTATCTTTTCTCTTCTCCCTTTATTTAGTTATTCTAAACGAACAGGTCTTCTCTACCTTTTTGTTTTGGTGAAAACAGATTGTTACTTCTCTGAATCTGATACACAAAATAACATTACATCTGTCTGGGACACCCAATGTTATGATATCTGACTGCATGTGAAAGCAGACCTAATAAAGAGGTCTACAATTTTGTTACTTAAGTTGAAGGAATATTTTAATGCAATCAGTAAACTAACAAAATTTGATTGCTATAATTTGTAAGTTTGACATAATCCTTTCCAAGTAAAAAAACCCGAACAACCACACACAGTGGATACTTGTACCTGCTAGTGCTGATAGAAAAAATTGTGGAATTTTTGGTTGTTGTAATACATTGTCTATCTTTAATTGGACAAACTACCTCAGCTACTTTTATTTCCCTTTCTGTGAATTAGAAATTAGATTATCAAAGGGTCTAGAATGAAAATTGAGGTTTTGTAAATACTATTAAAGATCAAAGGTATGGTCTAATTTTCAGTGTTTCATTCCAAAAGTGTGTCTATAACACTATTTTTTCAATCTCCTTTCTACTCATAAGATTTTGGCCAGATTGTTTCATTTGATGTTTTTTTGAGTTTGTGGGGTTTTTTGTTATTGTCGTGGGGATTTTTTGTTGGATTTTTAGAAGTTTCTCATTCATAAATTTTGTCATCTTTTTCCAGAATCATCAGGGCCAGCTGGAAATTTTTGATGAAAATGTTGCCCACATAAGTACTTGGTTGTATCAGGCTGAAGCCTTACTGGATGAAATTGAGAAGAAATCAGCTAGCCAAAAGGAGGAAACTGTGAAGGTAGGAAATGTTGAGTCATCTGTCAAAATATTACCAGTCAACTCATGGATTCAGAATGATGTCAGATTTACTTCCTGTTTATTTTTAGATGTCTCTCTCCTTGCCTTGGAGATGACAATTTTCATTTTCTTTCACTTGTTAGCGTTTAACATCTGAGCTAGATGATGTCAGTCTCCGAGTGGATAACGTCCGTGACCAGGCTGTCATCTTAATGAACGGTCGGGGCGTGTCGTGCCGGGAACTTGTTGAACCCAAACTGGCAGAACTCAACCGTAATTTTGAGAAGGTCTCTCAGCACATCAAAAGTGCCAAGGTGAGGGTGAACGAGCCCCAGAACTTGCTTGGGACATCAAGGAGATGGCAACTGGCTGCAGTGGATAGGTCAAGTTTGTTAGAGCAGCACTTTGCTGCTTTTGAGTTCTCTTAAGTGCAGGTATTTGTATGTGAAAAATAGACTGGTTTTTAGACCAGCTGCTTTTTTTTACCTGAGTAGCAGGTAATGACTTGTGTTCCATGGGAAAACTTACAAACAGCTGTTCAGAAAATTGGGTATATTGCCATACATATTTGTGAGCTACAAAACAATACCATAAGCTAATGTGGTGGGAGATGCTTCATTTATTTTGAGAACAAAATACTCAGATTGAAGTTTAAATGTAGAAACTTGTTAATAACTACCAAGTGTATTCAAGCTATCTCTCAGATCATATGACTCTTAAATTTTTGATTTATACTGATATCTAATAGTCCTGCAGACTGATATACCTGTTCATGAGGGATTGTATGGGACAGCTCAGACTAAATGTTCAGCTTGACCAAGGTTTTATTTTGCTTTGCAGATGCTTGTTGGACAAGAACGACTTCCTGTCACGTCAGAGCCCCGTGAAGCTAGGATGGCTTTTCTAGACCTGGACAAATTTGAGAGTGACATACAGAATATGTTAAAAGTTGTGGAAAAGCATCTGGAGTTGAATGGGGGAGATGAAAAGGTTTGTGAGCAATGTAAAAAATAAATAATTAAATAAATAATGTCATATTTTGTCCCCATGTTCCATTGCTCCAGATTTTAAGGGGGAATTCTGACGAAATGTCTTTAAGGGTAGAAAAGGAAGGGAACTATTAGATTGTTGGATACCCTGCACAATTTTCCAATACTTTTCCCATAGCTATTGCCTCTTGGCTGCTGGGCTGAGTGTAACTAATCATACTTGAGTTGGTATTTTCATCACAATTTTATAGAATACAAGTAGTGATTTTTGTTTTTTGTTTATCTATCTTCTGTCTCCTACTCAAAGTAGCTCTTTGTAAGAAATCCCTCCTGTATTTGAATGATGTTTGAATGGGGTTCAAATTTAAACTGGCATGATAAAATGAATCAGTGCATAGGCCAGGTCAGAGGATGTTTGAGGTAAGGTGCAAGTAAGAGTCTTGTCATGTGGCTCTATCCTGGAAGTCCAAATAAAAGCTTTGAACAAAATTTATTTTCTAGATTCTTATCTAGACTCTGCTATTTACCCATATAAAAGTGCCATAGTTTTGTTAGCACCTTGTCCACTATGGCCTTGTTGCCTACAAAATCAGGTAAATTCCTGTCAGGCCACTGTATCTGCCTTCCTTTTAAGCAGCTCAGATGCTATAAACTGAGCTGGAAAGCTGGATATAAGTCTATGGAAAATGCCATGTATATTAGAGAACACAAATTTAAATGATTTCTGTAGAAGGGCCTATTGTTATAGAACATAGCCTTCCTTTTATACTGTTTTTATATTTATTGAATTTTTATTTTTGTGCTGTTCTGCTCTGAGCTTACTTATTATTGTCAAGGAATGTCTAGAATAGAAATTGAGCTAAAGTCATAATACCCTATTGATGTGAATGCATACTGGTGGCTCATTAAATTTCTTTCAGTACATCTCTTTATGACATTTCTGGAAAGTTGGATTTTATGATTTGGTAGTTGTTGAGGAGAGTCTCTGCTTGAATTTGGACTATGACAAAAGTTTGGTACAATTGCTGTTAATATCTGAGCGGTTAATGTTTCTAAAATTAATTTCTGTAGATAATAGAGATTTGTGTAATTTTAGCTGGATCAAGAAAGAGCTCAGATTGAAGAAGTTTTACAGAGAGGAGGGCAGTTGCTCCAGCAGCCTATGGAGGAGCATAGGAGAGAGAAGATCCGCCTGCAGTTGTTGCTTCTGCAGAAAAAATACAACAGTTTGCAGGTAAGGTTATGGGAGTTACTACAGTTCATTTATCAATTTTCCCTTTGGTATCCCACTTACAACCTGTAATCCATGTTTTATAACTTGTGACTCTTTCAGCATATGCAATTCTCTGGGGAAGAGTTAAATGTATGTGCATGCAATCTGAGTCTCTGAATCTTTGCAATTCCAAAATATGAATTTTCCCACTTCTAGGTTTTGGGGGAGCAGTTTTGATTTTTAAAGTCTTTTTCACAGCTTCACAGAGGGCCACCCTATGTATTGACCCATATAGGTAGGTGCATTGAGTTAGGCATTTGTTTCACCTGACTTTGCTGGCCCTTGAACAGAGGTTTATCTCTACCACCAGGCTTTGTGAAGAGTGACTAGGTATACACATGTACACGAACATACCACCCTCTCAGCATAAGCCCTTTCTGTGATTGAGCTGCTCCCAAATTCCTCTTCCTTGCTATAGAGAGTATTAGCAGTGACTGCAGCATGTTGTGGTGCTTGCATACACATACTGTTTTAAAAATGGCTTTGTCTAGAACAAGGATGCTCCTTTTAGCTCACCTGTTTGAATCATGCCAGAGCTGGCAAGCTGAGGTGTAGTTCAAAGGTGCTGGGCAAGACCATCAGGCAGGCTTTGATTACATGTCTATGCAGGTAAAGAGAATATAGCTATTACAAAAATAAATTAGTAGTAGTGCATATTTTGGAATTTGCTCCTTCAAATGAATCCCTCAATTATTTTTGTTTTTCAAATAAATAAGACCTGTTCTCTTCACTGCTTCCCTCTTTTTATGCCATATTTTCCTAATACACTGGATTGTAGGAGTGCAGGTCATTTCAAAGGAGGCAGGCGGTGGAACTCTCTCCAGTATTTTCCCAGTATAAGAAGGAACATGATAGTCTAATGAAGTGGCTGAATGAGGCTGAGGACCGCCTCTCAGGGCTGCAAGGTGTGGAGGATGAACAAAAACTACAGGTAAATGAGGCTTCTGTTTTCGTAGAACAAACGGTTAATGGTGTGTATGAACTTTGGAGATTCATACACTAGAGTTTAATCTAGTCTAGTGATCTTTGGACATCTCTGTGGAAAGAAGTGTTTCAAAATGATAGCATTCATTTTTTGTTAGGAAATTATCAACATATGCTAGTTTGGGATTTCTGCATAGTCATCATAGGTCGAAAAGGTCTCATCCTTCAGATACTAATCTTAGACTGTGATCTGGGGAGTGGGCCTGATTCAGAAAAGTTTGTCTTGCTAGTCTTGATCCGTGAGGATTACACTTAACCCTTTTTAGTAACTCAAACAGCCAGATTTATGATCAGTTTGGTGTAGGATGATAAAAGCCTTGTTTGAGGCTTAAATCCAGTGCCTCTGCATCCTGTGGTCAGGTTATTGCAACTGCTCTGCTGTCTTTTCCTGCCTCAAGTGCTTAGAGAGGGATAACTGCACTCATATAATGGATATTACTGTACACAATGAATATTAATAAAACACACAAAGGTTGAAGTATTTCTGATAATGTGTGTGTAGGTCTTGACAAACAACTTTGCAACTGATATCATGTCAGGGTCTGATAAAACTTACTGCCCAGAAAGTTGTATGTCTTAATTGTTGAGGACACAGATTTTTTTTTGATTGCTTTTGTAGTGGCTTAGTGGATATTTTTTGTTGGTGTTTTTAAAATCTCTTTTATTTCTCCTTTCCATCCTTAAAAACACTTGTTTTTGTGGTAATTGCATTAATATTTTAGGCAATAACAGTGAAGAACCTTGTGAAGCACTAAGTAATGTCTTGAAAAAGCTTGAGGGCTGGGTCATCTGTCAAGGACTTTTAAATTTCTTTATATAAGGGTTCCTAATTAACATCTTTCAATCTTTTTGACTGCTTTGTAACTTTTTAACCCAGAACCAATAAACTTGGAAGCATGGGTAACACGTGCTGGCTCCCTGTGAGACTCTCACCATAAAATCATGATGTGGTGCTCTTTGTTCACAGCTAGTGTTGTGTGGCTTCAGCTGCAGGTGATAGATGTTTGCTGTCCTTTGTCACACACTCCATTCCGTACCAACTTTTAGATCATCTTTTGATGATCTGTTAGATCATCATTTCACATTATAAGGTTCTCATGAAGAGTTGGGCTGCAAAGAGGGCCCAGGGTCTGTAGAACAGTTTGACATCTGACTCCTCTGTTGGGTCTCCAGCAATCTCTTCTGGTGGCATAAGCCTGGGGACCTGACTGATGCTGTGGAATTTTTTTGAAGGGAATGGGGATCCGTGTGTATTTAAAGTAAAACAACATTATTCAGTTTTTCTGTTTGACCATCAGATGCATTGAATGATTAAATTACTGGACACAAATGGAAAAATGGTGCACCTGCATGGCTCTTTGCTAATGAGGGCAGGCCAGTCATGCCTCAGATGGGTTCTCCTTGTCACTGTTATCTCACTACAGCTTGACTGAGCTTCTCTTTGTTTACTGTAAAGCCCGTTTCTTAAAGGGATGTACTGCAGCTAATCCCTGCTACTGCTATATCCATTCCTGGATAAGTCAAGTTGGCTCCTGAATGTAGAATTTCATGTCAATATGGATTGCCATAGCAATTAAAATAGACTGTTGATGGAGAAACATTATCCTTGCTCAGATCAGCTAGACTGTCAGAAAAGGACCGCAAGTTTTCATTACTGGTGTGAAACTTGGAAATTCCAACTGCTGCTTTTGCTTTGTGTGCCTGTGGATTTCTGATATTTGAGAGCTAAGGCAGCTTGTCTCAAGTGGCTTTATTTTACTTTTATGGCTTGTTCTTTCACTGGCTCTACTAATCAATCTTGAACACTGAAAATGGCGTGAGACCATAACATTGGTAAAGCGAGAAATAGTCTCCCCAAATATCATTATTTTAGGTAATCACTGTTGCTCCAGAATTTTCTTGGAGCCACCAGACTTGAAAATTGCAGTGCTTGTTGCTCCTTGCAGCCTCGGACTGAGAAGCACTAAATGAATTCTTGGCCCACTGGTGTGCCGGTGGCTTAAGCACTCACCTTGATGTAAGGAAGCTGGAGTGAGCAGAGAAAGACAAACTGCTGTTTGATGTCAGCAAAACAGGGAGGGAAAGGAAGATTTCAGCTGCTGAGCTGGGGAGTAGACTTCAATTGAGCTTTTATGAAATACATTATTTATGCTTTTGTAAGCAAGTGTGGAGGAGAGGACTTATTTATGGTGCCTGAAGGTCATATCTATATATTGATTTGCTGGAAGTAGCTGGATCATAAATATTCCTCATCATTTATGCTTCTAGGGATTATGAAGTTAAAATATCTTTGAAATTCTGGTAACCCTTCTGCATTGTAGTAAGGCTTGTTTTACCACAGATCCATTAGCAAGAAAAGCCTGCCCTGGAACTTTGCATCTCCTAGAGGTCCTTTTCTAACAATGCTTTAGTATTTATTTAAATTGGACTATTCTGCCTTTGTTCAAAATGAGGGAAAGGAAAGAATTAAACCTTAAATTGCAGAGGTAATTTGTTGCCTAAATTCCTGAGAGATTTTTCCATGTTTTAGGAAGTTGTTTTGAAGTGAAAATGGTAGTTTTGCAGATGGAAAATATTGATAATTTTGCAACTGCAGTGAATATGCAGTTGCAAGAACAGTGCATTTTTTCCTATAAAATGAAGCAGACATTGTGTTGAAGGCTCTTGAAGTATTATTTCTGTAATAAAGAAAATGTATTTGTTTTTCTAGTATACTTTTTATAGGAAAGGTTCTGGATTACTTAAATATGAACTTAAATATTAGTTAAATATGTTTGCTGATTGCTTTAATTAAATAGGCATAAGCTTTGGAAACCTTTTTTAAAAAAACTGGCTTTGAAATATCTTGAGATTTAAAAATCAAGATGGTTTATATAGTTCAACATCCAAGGAGGTAAATGATTTAATTTTATATCAATGTCTAGTGCAGTAGTTTCCAAAATCCACTTTCTGAAGCAAGTCAGAAAATCTTATTGAGTCGAATCATTGGTAGGTTTTGTTTCAAAATATATTTAAGTGTAAAAGGGAGAGGGGAAAAAATCTGAAACTGAATTCTGAATTGCAGGTTAAATTGTATGCTGAATATAGGAGGAAATAAATTTTTATTTGGCCTCCAAATTAAAAGCATTTTTAGCCATTCTTATTGAGTGGCCTTATTTATAGAATGTTCAGTTATAACCAAGTATTCTCTTTATTCCTCCAATCCTTTGTTTTTGCTAGTATTTAAAGAGAGCACATTTATTAAGCATGCTCTATCAACACTAAAATTAAAGTAGAAAAGGACTGTTAAGTTGTCCAGTCGGATTTCCTGTTAAATAACCTCAGATTGAATTTTATTTGTGTATGCTCTAAGAAAAATTGTGGGAGGACTGAAGCACTGCTCCTGTAAAGACAGACAGAGGTCTTTTAACCTGGAGAAGGGAGAGCTCTGGGGAAATTCTTGTAGCAGCCTCCCAGTACCTACATGAAAGCTGGAGGGGACTTTTTACAAAGGCATGGAGGAATAAAACAAGGGGCAATGGATTTAATCTGTTAAAGGGTAGGTTTAGATTAGACATTAGGAAGAAATTCTTCACTGTGTGGGTGGTGAGGCACTGCAACAGGTTACCCAGAGAAGCTGTGGATTCTGTATCCCTGGAAGTGTTGTAGTGTGGGTTTGATGAGGCTTTGTGCAACCTGATGTAGTGGAAGTTGTCCCTGTTCATGGCAGAGGGGTTGGAATGAGATGATCTTTAAGGTCCCTTTCCAATCTAAACCATTCTGATTATGTGAAACGGTTGCTTACCCGAGTTTGTTTTTTTTTTTTTCTTTAATTAAAAAAACCCAGAGCCAAGCAACCAAAACCAACTTCTGTGTAATTTAGGTATTTATCAGGTAACTGTGAGTGAGTTACATAAAACTCCACTTCTATTTTTTAGCATATTATGCTGCATTTTAGAAGCTTCCAGTCTGCAGTGCAAGGTAGAGAACAGCTGAACAATTAAAACTCTGCTGTATTGAAGCACTAATGTGTTTATAGCACTTACATATGTTCACCTTTAAGAGTGAGGGTAGTGAGAGGAGGAAGCATCATCTCAGTGATATGAGGCAGCTGGAGGAGATTAGCAAGGAGGTTTACTTTGGAGCAGCAGCATTAGGAAGAATTCACTGCTTAGTAGAAGAGTAATTTGGCCCAGGATGGTGTTACTGGGAAAGCAGAAACTTTCAGAACATTTCAATGCACAAGTACAGAATGAGTTTGCTGCATGCCAACACATGCTGTTTTAAATCTTGTGCAAGTTTTTTCTAATAAGAGACAAAGCAGTGTGTGGGGAGTGGAAACATAGTAAAGCCCAGTGACTGATTCATGTGGGTGAAGTCTTGATTCTGAAGTCTTGTCACCTGTGTGAGAATGGGACTTTTGGAATGATTGGGAGCTAGAGAAAACACCTTGGGAAGATGTTGCAGATGGCTGTGTTAGAGAAGGCATCCTGTTGTTTTTTCTTACCTTGACATGTTTCATATTATTAGGGAAAACATACTTTGAGTTGCACAGACTGATTTCTTAGGCACTGGGGCCCTCTCCTTCCACAGGAAATTGTACCACTGTCCGAGCCTTTGGCTTTTTCTCTGAGTTTCATTGATGGAAGCTGATAAAATATATGCAGAACCTCAAGAAAATGCATTTGGGGAGCATCAGGGACCAAGATGCTGGGTTTGTAGCTAAAGCATATGGAGTAAGCCTCATTTTTAACTGTGGTGCTTGCTTGCTATACTGAATCAAAAGCAGTACTGAGGAGTTTGTGATGCCTTTCTGTAATTCTTGTTTTTGGTAGACTTGCGCTGCTATGCCCTTGCGTCCTGTTTCTTTGGTATGCAATGAATGACTGAGAGCAAATAGTATCTAGTGGTAAAGGTCTTGTGGAAGCAAAGCTGTGTCCCCTCTTTTACAACAGGATGACTGTCTACTTCACAAACAAAAAAACCCAAACCAACACAAAACAAAGAAAATCCTTAGGAATATTTAGTGCATGTGAAGTCCTGAATTGTGAATATGTGAACATATTTTTTCTGCTGCAGTCCTTGCTTAATTTGCACTACATGTGCTGGTTATGTTAGGTTCCCGTTAATTTGAGTGACATATTTGAAATTCTCAGAAACATGTGATGAAGGAAGGTACAGACAGGTGTTTGCAAGCCACTTGATTACTGGGGCTTTAATATTTTATTGGTTGGTCATGTGTGCACCCAGCCCAGACAAATTGCAAAGTAAAATTCACTGGCTGAAATTGCTGTGAGCATACATTTATTCTTCACTCTTTAGAGTGTTCTTAGCTGTTAGTAAATCCCACAGTCCTGTGCCTGTGTCTTGCTTGACTCACTCACCAAGTGAAACATGGTGATTTAAAGTTGCTTGAGTTCTTCAATATTTGGAAGTGGGCTTTCTTTTATTTGATAATTTGAAAGAAACAGGCTATTTTCAGAGATGGTAACAGAATCCTTGTTTGACAAGAAACATTTTCTGCTAAAAATGTTTTCTATCAGTCTGCCTCACCTGCATCTGCTAATTTTTTGCCAGGCGTGGCAGAGAGTTTCCTGTAGCAATCTTCCCAAGGTTTCAGATCCAGCCCAATATTAGTGAGCCAAGAAAAAGCTGCATTAAATTACTGTTCTTACTCTCTTATCTGCTAACATGGTACTTGGCTATATAGCCTAGTCTTGTAGCCAGAGCAGAAAACAATTGCCAGGCTCTGGAGGAGCTTCTGTCTTTTATTGCTGCAAAATATTGGGAGTACTGGTGGAGCACTAATTTATTTTTAAAAATTATTAGAAAATGTGGGTGGGAATGTTTATTGAAAACAATATGGATGGGAAATAAGTGTTTCAGTGAATTGGTATCTTGGTGATGAAGGAAGCAGAGTGGGTTGTGACACTAGATACAGGCTCAGTCAAGAAGTGGTATTTTGGGAAATGGTAAGGATCAAGTTAAGAGCAACAGTGGTACCCTTCCCATTGCTTGGAGTTTTAATCAAGAATAATACGGAGTCATTTTGAGGCATGATATCAACTGTTTTCTAACTTTTAAAATAAATAAACTGTCTTGTGCAGAACCTGCAGCTTTCTGAATTCATGTAATCTTGTTAGAAAGGCCTTTGTTTCCTTTATTAATCTAGAAAAGTAATTATTCTAAGTATAGTTTATTGATTTAGGATTTTTTCATAAAGTTGATTGTTGCTTGAATGATAAAATGAATTTTCATGTTTTCAGGCAATCCCTGTCCAGCAGAGGTTAAAAGGCCAATTTGCTACAGGAGTTAGGACCTTGCCTTTCTCAGCTGAGTACTTGGTTGAAATCAACAAAGTTTTGCTGGCCATGGCTGATGTTGAACTGCTGCTGAATGCACCAGAGCTGAATACTGGCATCTATGAGGATTTTTCAGCTCAGGAAGATGCACTGAAGGTACTGCCTAAGCATTATATTCAGAGTGGAGTAGGGAAACAGCAGAAGAAAGGCCACCACTTTAACAACTCTATCGCAACATTTCTGGTTTTGCTTGGTGTATACATGATCAATATGCACTGAAAACTAAAAAAATGACAGTTCTGTTGGCTATTTTTTTCTATGCATAATCTGGATACAATGTATAGCAGCATGACAACTTCTTATTAGCCAGTGGATTTACCAGTGGGATTTATAGTGAGGAAATTGTTGAGGACCTCGCCTTTTTCAAAAGGAGATGAAGGAATTATGCTTGAAAATACTGAATCCTGCTGTCAAATATGAGCTGAGTGTGGAGAAGTCTGAGCCCTGGTTAATTCTTAGCATACAAAAGAGTATGAAACAGATTCCCTCATAAAACATCTATTGGAGTTGGCAATTACACATGGCATGGTGCAGTGTAGGTGTACCTCTCTGGACTGGGAATCATAGCAGGGTCCATGTGTCATATCTGAGGCGTAGTCAGGTTCTGCCTCTCATCAAGAGCTAGATTAGCTGTTTCTGCAGCTGCTATGTAGGTCCTTAAAAGCTTTACAAATTCCAGTCCACTTTTCTGACTTGCTTTTCTTTCTACTGTGTACATGCTTCCATTTGTCATGTATTGGGTTTTTTATAAATTTTATGAAAGCAAATATGGGAATGGTGCCAGCCTTTGACAAAGGGGGCAGCCTTTGTTTTGTTGATGAAATTCTTATGCCTGCTCACTCTGCTTCTGTGCTGCCTTGAGTGCAGTTAGGAGTGGTTATGTTAAAACAGGATTAAAATACTTTGTTTTAGTGCAGGTGTCTCATCTGATTTTCAAGTTTTGGTATAGTCTAAGGATGTTTTCAGAAAAGGCAAATAGCAGAGCATAGAATTTTTAGAAGCATTACTGTTTCAAATTCAAAAGATAAGTAAATTCCACTATCTGCATGGACTGTTTGTCTTCTGAATACCAAGGCAGTCTTACAACAGTATCTGGTTTAAAGGAATTTTCACATCATAGTTCAGTGGTATTTGAAATTGATTACTTTAACTGTCATTTAAATGTAAAACCTTTATGCAGCCTTATGCTTTTGCAGTTCTGTGCATATGGGAGGTTACATGAAGCATGATGAAGTTGGAATTTGGTGGTCCAGTTTTTTACATGAGGAGAGAGTCTGTATAGTGACATGGGCAGATTTGTTTGATAGTGAAGCTAGTGTTGCTTTGAGAAGTATATGGTGTGCCCTTTACCTTAGGAACAAATTAGATATATATGAAATATTGTATCCTTTTCCTAAACACCTGAAAAGGATACATGCTTAAAGGGTATGAAGATGTATTCAGTTCACTTGCTAAAACTGATTTAAACTGTAAATGTTATTGCTATTACTGGTGGTCATGGTCTTACTGTAGATGCTGATTTTTGGAAAAAGAATTTTGAAAATATTATGTTTTTGTACTTTTCTTTTATTTCCTGATGGTGTTGACTTTACTTATGGCTTGTGCCATTACTGTACTTGCAGAACATAAAAGATATTTTGGATAAACTTGGGGATCAAATTGCAGTAATACATGAAAAGCAGCCTGATGTTATATTGGAAGCATCTGGACCTGAGGCAATACAAATAGGAGATGCACTAACACAGCTGAATGCAGAATGGGACAGAATTAACAGAATGTACAATGATCGTAAGTGGTAAGTCAAGCATGATTGGTCTCTGTGGCCATGTGGTAAATAATTTGTGTACATGTTTATATAAGTATTTTTCAAATGTACCTTGATGAAGATGAGTTTGGGAGTTATCAGCTTTTATTTGTTGGTATTACAGAATAATTTTCAGAATTATTGAATGTTGAAACTGTTAACACAGAAATTGAAGTTTGGCTGCTTTTATGAGGCTCATTGTTTCTCAAATAGAAGCTCCTGTTTATAGAACATAAAATTTTGGTTTTGTAAAGGCATCACAAAGCAAAATTCTGGAAGAATAATTTTGAGTAGGACATCTTTTAATGAGGAATTCAAGGCTGATTTTTTTTTTGTTCTTTGAAGGAAGGATGCAGTTTGAAAGAATGGGGTCTGTAAAATACAGCACCTATGACAGTTGTCAGTAATATTTGTTGTAAGTACTTGAAGATGAGAGATGACATGATTAGACAATTTTGTTGTTAAGAAAACAAGAGAATACTAAAATAGGTGCTTAAGAAATATGTATTTCTAATTTCCTTGCCACAAATAGGTGTAATTTCACTTAGGCAAAAAGTTTGATTTCTCCCCACCCCTTACAGAAGAGACATTAAACTTTTTACATTATCTGAATCAGTTTTAAGTCTTTGAAAACAAACTCAATACCATTTAGTGATTCTTGGGAAAGTGTATTAGAGGAGTATTTTAAGTTGGAATTTGTAAAAGTGTCAAAGTACACGTTCAGAAAGTTACCACTAAGCTGAAGGTGCTCACACTGCAAGCAGCAGTGCACACAGAGATTGCTGCTATGCAAAAAAGCCCTTAATGACTGAAAATTATTTAATGAAATGTAAAATTAAATGCAAAGGCTTATACTGTAGTTCATTTGCTTTTACAGTATTTCCTTTTTAATGATGGTGTAAGGTAATGAATGATGCAGAAGTTTTGTAGAGCATAAAGTATGCCTTACCATGTTTACTGGTTTTGTAGCACCAGAAATCTGATATCAAACCCACGTGGTAATGTATTTTGAAGAGATGTTTCTAGGAAGAGCATGTATTACATAAGATGTTTCCAACTCTTTCTGAGAGCACTGATAAAGGTGTAGAGACATAAAAATCAGTTGGTGCTATTATCTAAATGGAGGCTTGCAGAAATTCTGGGCCCCTGGATGAGTGAAGGATCAAGATTCTAATAACTCGGCAGGTCATGTTGTTTCACTGTGGGTTCTTTAATTAGAAAACAGTGATGCCGGCTATGTAGAACTTTCTGTGCTCTTGCTGGGTGCTCATAGTCACCTGCTGAATTTGGAGACAACTGCTCCTGAATCTGATGCCTATCCATATTTATATGCCTGCAACTATTTTATTGTCCTCCTAGATACTGTATGCACTAAGCTTTAGTTATGCCTTTTTTTCCACTTGTAACTTACTTGAAAAGCTTTAACTAATGTTAACATTTTGTAAGTATGAGTACAGTTGAATTTACTACTCACATTTGCTTTGATTAAGTAGCTAGGGCTAACCAGAAACCTAGTCTTCTTATTGAATAAAGTAAGTGAATCAAAGAGTTAGTTCAGTGTTTATGAAGAAGTGGAAGAAAGCAACAGATTGACTCTTCAGTCACTTTGCTGATACAAATTAATCTTGACCTTCATAAAGTTTGTAAAGCTCTGCATATTAATGAGAATATTGGGTTTCATTTTCATACAAAAAGGGACTACTGGACTACTAATTTAGATAAATGATATATAGCTTCTTAAATATAGAAAATGCTGCAGTTTTAATAGGAGCATGCTCTTTGATCACTGAAGATGTTATTTAATTGCAATATGAAAATGGCATTAGTATTTTTAAACCCTTTTTGTTACAAAGAAGAATTCTTAGTCAAGTTTAATCTTGCTTTTTCCAGTGTTGCACTAAGTATAAGCTGGATGACTATCTCCTTAATCATCTTTGACTTTTTTCTGTTTCTGGAGTGGGTGGAAATTTTGACAAAATTAGACAAAGCAGCATCTGAAGCCTCTGGCAAAAGATGGATTTAGTTTTCAGGGGTAGTAAAGATTTTGTGATTGAATGCCAGCTAAGTAGTTAAACCTTTGGTAAATGCTCTGATGAAGCCAAGCACAAGTTTAATTCAACTTAGCAAAGCTTCTGCGTAGTCACCTAAATCCACCTGACTGTATTTGCATTTCAACATATGTGGAGTAAAATGTGTGTGTTTTGTATGTGTATATATAGGCTTAATGCTTTGGACTGTTTGTAACTATGCTGGTTTGCTAGGTCTGCTCATTTTGCTGTGGGTTTTCTCCCAGTACTGAAAGTGTTGATGACTTGGGAATGAGATGTGGTTTGGAAACAGTGGATTCCTGCAGTGGAGGCAAATGATAGCCAAGTTTTGGTGCAATAGTCACAGGAATTTGGTACTTTTAACTTTCATATGAGGCAGTCTGTAGCAGCAGCACATGCGTCTGACTCAAAACTGGAATGAAACTTTGCTCATTGCTCAAAATACTGATGGAGCTGTAGTCTCACATCAGAAATGGCACAAGTTAAAACTTTGTATCTAAGTGTTCTCTGAAGTTTTAAAAGTTTTCTGTATTCTGAAAAACGCCCTCAAAACCCGTAATTTTTAAGGAAGCCTATAAAACCTTATTTTAATCTATTTTAAGTGCTTAGAATGTATCTTCTCATTAAATGTGGAATGAGTTACTGTCATGAGACAGTCTGCTTAGACTGAAATGTATGTGAGAAATAAAGAGACATGGAGATTTGGGGTCAGTGTACAGGTTGATCTAGGGTACTAAATCAAGGTTATGTGCTGAAACTCAAATGGTAGAACTAAGAGAAAATGTTAGAAAAAATAAAGTGGAGATTTTTAAGACTTCTTTAAGTCTTATATTTTTAAGACTTCTTTTTTAAGACTTAAGTCTTATTTTTAAGACTTGTTAATTGGCTAATAATAACAACAACAAATAAGCCGTGTAGATATCAAGAACTATGGATCTTTTGTAAAATTAGTTTTAATTTTGATGAAATTAATCTCACTAAGAACTCTGGGATTGTTGACTTTAAATAGTGAAAAACAGTTGCAATGGTAGTTCTTTAAAGTTTGGTTTTAGATATCTTTGTTATGGTGCTAATTTCAGATTGTATCTATATATGTGCAATATCTCTGGAGTCTTTACTGTTGCAATTATTTGCAATTGTTTGCAATAATGGGTTGCAAATGACATAGTTCCTCAGTCAAAATAGAAGGTCCTCTGATTAACAGTAGTCTTGGCCTTTTAGGACTTTAAAGATGACTGTTTTTATTAGTTTGGAATAGTTAATAATCAACAAATAGAAAACAAGCCACTCCATTCCTTTCTGACATGTTTTTCTCATGCTCTCGCTTTATTAGCTTGTTAACATAACAGAACTCTCATTTTATTAAAAAACAAATTTCTGACTGTGGTTGTTCTATCTGTTCCATGCAAGAACATGTTGCCCTTCAAATTAAGCAACACATTTGATGCTGCAAAGATGATGACAATGAAGTATCTGGTAAATTATTGTGTGATTAAATTCTATAAGACCTACTTATGACTGCTTACTGGCAATATTAAATAATCAAATATATAATCTATATAATCAAAATCACTTTCACTTAATAATAAATTCTAGGCACCAGCACCCCATTTTCTCCTTATGAAGGAGAAAAAAAAAGTGAGAGATTAATCATATTTCATATTTCACACTGTCTGATAGCTGAATTGTTTCATGATAAAGTAGGAAAGGGTTCTGCAGACCAATTTGATGTAGCTAATCAATCTTTACTTTTTAAGTGATAGAACAAGTTTGCTGAGGACTGCCCTTTCTTCCTTCAGGTGGAAGTTAATGACAGTCTGTGCTGTTGGCTTTCACCAGCTGCTACCTTGCCAGGAAGCCTTCAGTACTAGGGCTTGGTTAAGCAGGCTGTGTGCTAGTCTTTCTGTTCTGCAAGGCAAATTTCTACTCACTGGAGTGGGATTCCTAGCCTTCGAACTGAAATTGTGGGTAATTTTTCAATCCTTTGTTTTCCCACAGTTGCTTTGATAGAGCGATCGAGGCGTGGAGGCAGTTCCACTGCGATCTCAACGATCTCTCCCACTGGATAGCGGAGGCCGAAGCGCTACTGGCTGATGCGCGCGGGCCAGATGGCAGCCTGGAGCTGCAGGCAGCTGGGCTGCATCAGCAGGTATGTGGGATTGGGGCAGAAAATGAGCAAGCTAGAAACAGCCTAAATTTTCATCTAAAATTGTAGTTTTATAGATAGACATATGGATTTGCAGAGAGGCTGTGCAATTGCGCTTCAAAAAGCAGTAACTCTGAACATTTATATTTTGGCTGCAGTTAAAAATTTATTCTTGGGGAAGAACTCAGTTCCTACTTATAGTATGGGGTTATATGATCGCTCTTAGTATGGATTGGTTTGAGATAATTTGATAATTCAAATGTTGACATAATTTTTCAGTTTATAAGTTTTGTTACAGCTTCAAAAATATGTTAATCAGATTAAAAATCCAATATATTATTTCATTTACTTTTGAGTCATAATTTTTTAAAAATGGACACCAATAAAGGGCATTTATAACTTAGCAAATTATTTATTTAAACAAATGTCTTTTGGAGATACGGCCTTGTGTAAACAATCTAGAAAAAGAGAAGATTCCAAATACAGGGGTCTTACGTTTGATATTTTTTTTCAGATTTTGGTTCTGGAATTTATTCCCTGATTTTTTAAAAATTTTACTTCCTTTTAAATAAGGAGAAGAAAGCATAACTTCAAGGGCCTTTTTTTTTTTTTTTGAGAGTATTAGTTATCCAAATGTCAGATGTGTGTTGTGAAAGAAATCTAAGACACATCTTCCATTTTATCCTTGTTGCTCCTTGAAGTTTTCTTCTAGGGCATTTCAGTTCTCTTTCTTGAATCATCTTATTTCTAATCAACTTGCATAGAGATTTTTGCTAACTGTGTAGGACTTTTGTAGTCATTATGGGTGTTTGAAGATTTAATCCTGACATATGATTTTCTTTAGCTTCATGAATTTTCCATGGTGCCTGGGACCATGACAGCACTGCCATAAATATCCTAGCTAAAATACTCTGAAGGTAAAGAAATATTTGGGGTATAGATTATGAGAAGACCTGGTTAAAAGTCAAACCATCTGTTAGAACCACTAGGGAAATGCTGTACATGAAGAGAAAAGGAATCAAAGTTGAGTGTTGATTTTAGCACTGGTGGCTTAAATGAATTCTTGTGATTCTTTGTAGTATTCATAGCCTATTCTGTGTCACTATCTTCTCATGACACCTAAAAAATTGAATTACATTCAATAAAAGAACATTAATAACTTTGTCAACAGCATCCATTTCTAAGTAAGATGGTTTCAAGTGCCTCTTTTAGTAAAATAATATGCACCCAGGATTCATCCTGCATATCATGAGCCAGATCAAAGTCACTTCAGGTCAGTAATAAAATTCTGTGTGGCTTTTATGTTTCTGACAGGAACTTGAAGAGGGAGTCACTAGCCATCAGACCAGCATTTCAGCACTGAACAGAACTGGGGAAGGAATCATACAGAAACTGTCTGCTACAGATGGGAGCTTCCTACAGGAGAAACTGGCAGGACTGAATAGACGCTGGAAAGCAATCACAACAGAGGTCATGGATAGACAACAGAGGTAATAAGTTAATTAAAAATTTGGATGTCTGGACAGATGCAATAAGGAGAATTTAATTGAGTAGACACTGGGAGAGAGAGTGCATTCTGTTGCATGGTGTCATTAATCTGAATTTTCCTAATGTTTAGAGCTCTGTTTTGAACCGTCTCCTAGAGCAAATTTCTCATAAATCCACCTGAAATTGACTGCTTAGTAAGTCTTTGGAACAACTCACAAAATGACAACCACAAAACTACATTTTTATAGTTCTCCTTTGCTTTAAAAATAATGTTCTTATAAATCCAGGCTTTTAAAGGAAGAATTTCTCAGCTACTTTCTCTGGCTGAAGCTGAACTTGTAAGTATCACTAAGTTTTGTTTTATCCCTGACAGAGATGCACTCATTGAACCAACTTGTATAGTACTTGGATTTCCACAATACTATAAAGTAAGAACTTCATGTAATTATGTGTTTCTAACATCTTCTGATACATTTAGGAGTAAAATAGGATTTTGCTTAATTATTTAGTTTCAGAAATTTCATTAAAGTTTTATGTGTTTTAGTGGAACTATTATATATGTCCCTAAAACCTCCAGGGGAAAAATTCAATGACCTTATAATGATTAGGCCTGAACGTGGTGTCATTATTGTGACTTACATTTAATATTTTCTGCAGTCTTTTAAATGTCTATTGTATGACTTTGGAACCAAAATTTGTCCATTTTTAGACAGTAGTATTTATTTGTAAATATCTTGCATCTTAATGATGATGGTAGAATCTTTTGATGATAAAATGAATCCTTTAAAATTCTCCAAACACTGAAAAAAAGTTGACTGTGGCATCAGAAGTAATTTAGGACTGATGTGCTGGTCTTCTTGTTTCACTTTTTAAGGCTAAAAGGAGAGAACCAGCAGCTGATAGAGTACAGAAAGAAGCTTGATGAGCTGCGTTGTTGGTTGGAAAATGTAGAAAATGCTCTGGACACAAGATTTGCATTCAACCATGAAGAAAACTTGCAAGAATTACAGGCAAGACTAATTAGTGTGTAAATATGTATACATCTGTACATCTTGTGTAAAGCATCAGGACATGGCTTTTGAGAAGGGGAGTTTTCACACTGTAAACAGCCAAAGAAATATTATGGTTGTGTGAGAAAATTTTGTGAGATTACTTACACTGGCAAGGTACACCTCGAAATGAAGTTGACTTGGTAACTGGTATGTAGCCAGAAGATGGTGTCTGTATATAAGAAAGTGAGAAACAGATATACTACTGATAAAATTTAGTAAGTAGAATTTCACTGGAGATTGTGTATTTGTCAAATTTTTAATTGCTAAATCCTCTAGAAAAAAAGCTGATAACCTTAAATGGTAAGTCCTGGGCAGTTGTAATAATCTCTTATGTGTGTAAGATTTTATCTAACCTGTTACTTAAAACTGTAAGGGTTTTTGGCCATTTTAAGTAAGTTGTGTGCATATGTATGCATTTTTCCTGTTTTGCATCTGGCTTTGGCAACAAAACATCTTTGGTTTGTACAATGTGGGAAAGAAAATCTTTCTGAAATCCTAAAAGAACGAGAGGTGTAGTCAGTCCAACTGACCTGCTTGTTTATTTTTTAAAAATCAGTAAATTTTAAAAAGGCAACAAAAAAACCCCGACAAAACCCCAACCAATCCTTTTTAGACCAAATCTAACTGGGAAGTCTTGAATAAGTGTTTATAAATGATGTAAAGTAGTTGGCAGTTGTGTTTGTCTAAACAAATTGACTCATGTAAGTTGAGTATTTCCTGCTTGTCATCAAAGTGTAATTTTTCTTGTCATCTACCTTAATATAAATGCTAGAAGTGAAAGATAATAAATGTTCCAATAATTTCTAGATCAAGCACAGAAACCAAAATAGAAGTTTCTCTGTGTATGTTCAGGAAAATGCCTAATATTGGAATTAAAAGAAAGCTTTCCTCCTTCTTTATTTAAGCATGTATGCATTCTATTCAGTCTAAAATTCTTCTGTTCATTTTAGGTCTTAAGTGAAGAGATGGAAGTTCTGGGTGACAAACTGGAATGGCTGAATAGAACTGAATCTGAAGTACTGTTGGATAAAAATACTGATCTTCAGGAAAAAAACAAACTTTCTGCTTGCCTGCAGTCCCTCAATGTGAGGTGGAATAAGGTGTGCATTTCTTCAGCATTGGGTACCTGAGGTTGAAAATAGTGGTATGCTTGGAATGGTTGTTTTCTTTTTCATGTGTCTGTCACATGTGGCATGTGTATAAAATGATCAGGAAACCATACAGGTGTGATCAGGAAGTGTACCGCAAACCAGTTACACATGAAAATACTGATGGATATTTTTCCATCAGATTGAGTTAATTTTGTTAGCTTAGGTTTTTCTGGTTTTTTTTTTGGTTTTTTTTCTGGTTTTTTTTTTGTTTTTTTTTTTTTTTTTTTGTTTTTTTTGGTTTTGTTTTGTTTTGGTGCTGTGTGTTTTTTGGTGTGGTGGTTTTTTGGTTTTTTTTTGGTTGTTTTTTTTAATTTATATTGGCTTTTTTTGAAAGTATTAACTTGAAATTGAGAGTTAGAATAAATCTTTACTGTGTAGGAAAACTGAGTGCTTGTAGCAGTTAGGAGAAAAAGAAATGAAGCCGTGGTAGAGCATAGAAAATCTTACTAAGTGTGTCTGGGATTCTTCTTAAACATTACTGTAGGTTAGAAACTCCTGTGTTCAGTCTCATTGGCAAGACTGGTTGGAGCAAAGCAAAATTTTTTTTCAAGCAAAGCCTGGAGATCCAAATGAAAAAATTAAATTATTTTAGATTATTTTATGGATGACAGAGGTAAGAATTTATTGAGGAAAGGGGCTTATGATAGTTCAGGATAGGAAAAAGATGGTTTTTTACCCACTCAGACGTGAAAATAGGGATTCTCCCACTGCTTTGAGCACTACATTTTCATCACTGACTTAAAAAAACTCTTAAAAAGCATATAGGCACATTTATTTTCACTACAACGGAGTTGTAACACTTCTTCTTTTGTCAGTTAGTTCCCAATTTCTCTGCTTTTGTGTGACTGATCATATAATGCTTTGCATCATCTTTTCTTCAAAGTATATTCAAATATTGAATTACAGTTTTGGTGCTCAGACAGTAAAAACCATGTAAACGACCCATCTACAACAATTTACTTCTTTTCAATAGTTAGGTGTGACACTGGGATGTATTGAAAGAACACTTTAGCACCTCTTGAAGTTTTTATTGTTTTTTAAAGGATACCTTCCAAAAATAATTTAAATATATGTGAGGCATGGTGTGGAATTTTTTGTGTCCAATAAGAGATTACTTTTCTGCCATTAATATAGGTTGTGTTTTTATTTCTCTCTGCTGGCTGTAGGTATTCAGAGAAGTGCCGGACAAAGTGAGAGAATTGGAGGCATTTGTTGCGCAGTCCCGTTTTGTTACAAAGACAAAGCCTCCTGGTGAGTCATTGGTTGTTCTGTTCTGCTTAATTGTCTTGAGTGTAATCCTGTTTGCAGTCAAAAGTAATTAAAAAAGGAAAAAAACTATGAACTAGGACAAATAAGAAATATTGAACCATTGTGCTGAACTTGAGGCTGCCTTCTCATTACTGTGGGGGAGAGGGAATGTTTGGGTAGGGAAGAAGTCACTCTGCTCTTCAGGACTGGAATTCCTCTAAGAGTTTTGAAATGGAGAAATTTATATAAAGCTTAGGCCTCCTCATCAGGACTAGGTACAGAGTAAAAACTAAAATAGCTGTGTTTGTGACAGCCTGTTTTCTGTGCTTTGTTTCCTGTGGATTTGTGATCATGCCTTTGACTAATTAAGATCCACTAGAAGCTTTCCATACAGCTAATTATTTGTAAAGTATCTCTTGCATGTGGATTTTTTTTTTGCAGTCCTATAAAGGGCATTCTTCTTCTGGCTTGGTTAGCGGGACAGATGGGGCTCCCTTATCTGCTAGATACTTACCTTCCTGAATCTCTTAGGGAAAGCTAAGTATGTGTTCTTGTATCAGACACTGACACTGGTCATATTTCCAAGTAGTTGGAGGCAATTCAGCAAATACAGATTGAAAACAAAATACCCATGTCTCCCTTTTGGAAATTTAGGCCAAGAAGACAGCCCTTGCCTGAAAAAATTTTCAATCGAACCTCAGTGAATGAACTCTAATTTTTTTTTTTTTTTAATTTCAGCATCAGTAAACAAAAATTGAGGCAAGCCAACTTCTGTTTTGAAACCTTGAATTCAGTTTGGTGTCCTTTCATACAACATGTTTGTTAAACAAAACTCCTGTGTTTTGTTGTTTGAGGGAAGTGTGAAATATTCATGCTTCAGCTTGTTGTAGCTTAGTGTTTCTTGGAATTAGAACACAACTTCTGGAGTGAATCTTGCTATTAATTTCAGCTCATTTCTCATTTGTTGTGTAAGGTTAAAAAGAGAGAAAGATGTGACTGAACTAGAGGGCATCTGTCCCTTCCTCAGAGAGTTGTGTAATGCCAAGTCCATGAAGCATCTGTTCCAGAAGCTTCACTTTACTTAAAAGAATTCTGAGCCAAGTGGAGATCTTTCTCCCACATAGTACAAAACTGAGGAAGACAGTTTTAGATGTTTATCTTAAACAAAATTATTGGGGTTTATGCTTAATAAGCATCAATGAGAGTTTAGCTTTGTTCCATTAGGTTTAATGTAATTTTGTCTTTGCAAGTTTTCATCTTGTTTACTTTGAATTTAGGCTGAATCATTTGGGTGAGTCTTTTTGGCATGCAGTAAGAAAATAGCTGCCTTAAAGGTGCATAAGTCTCATTACTTAGCTTCTGGTTGTTAAAATACAATTTGTGCTTTCTCTGTAGATGCTGTTGCATATTTATAGGAATTACAAAAAGCCCCCTGTAATTCTGAGAACTCATGTGGCCATGACTACTTTTTCTTTAACAGAACCCCTCCACTCTGTTTCAGATATCCAAAAGGTGGTGCTAGCATCTTCTTCATTGGAAATTCCTGTTCAGTCTCAGCCGACTTTGGAACTTTCTGCACCTGCTGATCTGGACAAAACTAGAACTGAGCTGGCTGACTGGTTGGTACTGATTGACCAGATGCTCAAATCAAACATAGTCACTGTGGGAAATACTGAAGAGATCAATCGGACCATTGCACGAATGAAAGTATGTGTTTTTGTGAAGGCTAGTAGAAAATTGTCTCACATTTTAATAGTTCTTACATTCACTAAAGTAATTAAAAGCAATGACATGTTTAAGGGGAAAAAAATCCCTGACTGCAACTAAATGCATAACATGAAAGTTACACTTTAAAAGCTCTTATTACACTCCTTTCTCCTTCAGAACCATTTTGTGTTTATTCTTTTGTCCCTGTGTGAGCTAAGTGCCATTATTTTTTTGTTTAAAACAAAGAAAGTGGAGAATACCTCCTGACATCTTTTGGAATTTGTAATAGTTGATTTACACCGAGGACTTTAGAGCAGCTTCATGTCTGCTTAGTGGGTGACCTTTGATTCTCTCTTTACTGGTTTCTAATGAGTTTTGTTTGCTGTAGTTACACTAAACTGATTTCCAGAGACATGCTAAGAGAATTAAAAGGTGTAACATAAATGCTTATGATGTAAATGTTTATTTCTGTTGATAGCTCATGCTATGTTAAGCTGTGACTAAGAGCAGTCTTAGTGAGATGTATGCAGCCGTTAAGGTTCATTTTATTTGACTTAATATCAATGAACTAAGTGTAGAGTAAAAGCTGTAGGCTAAACAAGCACTAAACTGTTTCTGTGAGTATCTCACATAGCCTGGAATTTAGAAGAATAACATGATGTAGCTTTGGAAACACTTTCTTTCAGCTGTATAATACTTGCGATATTCTGGTACATGTAGAGAGCAATGGTTTATAGAGCAACATTATATAGTCTAATTGTTCCTTCTATTGTTCTTCACTTTCCTCCTGCGCCCACTGGTGCTTCTGATATATATAACTGATGCCAGCTTGGTTAGGAGTAAAATAAGTTATGGAAACTTATTTTCATGTAAGTCTATGAAAAATAGATATTGGAAGATATTGTGCAACAGCTGTGGTAACTATGTGGTTTGTATAGGTTAACCTTCACCTCTGGATTTTCAGTAATTGCTATTTACAATATTTTAGCTTTTTAAAGCAGTGCTATGGTACTGTGACAGTTCAAGAGTTACAGTAATGATGAGACCAGCTGTACAGCTGTGGAGACGTGTATTTTTTTACCTAAACAATACGGGTGAATTTAACTATTTTCTACTTTTTGGACTTAAAAACAGATAACCAATGCAGATATGGACCATCGGCACCCTCAGCTTGATTCTGTTTTTACATTGGCTCAGAATTTGAAAAATAAAACTTCCAGTTCAGACATTAGGACAGAGATCACAGAAAAAAGTAAGTTTATCCATCCTGTGTTTGCAAATTCATTGTTTTCATGGCAGTAAAAAATCTTCATGTCTTTTTCTGAAATTCTCCATTGAGCTGAAATTGCCTTCCTTGAAAAAGAAAAAACTTGGCAATTGAGGGTGGCTTTCACTTAAACAGTCTAATGAAAATTCCTAGAATGAGAATTGACTCATGTTTTCTTGACTGGCTGTTTTTTCAAGTGTGAAGATCAATAGTTTTGCTGGGATTTTGAAATATTTTGTGAAGAATTTGGGTTGCTTCACAGCCGCAGACCCAGGGATGAGGATTGTATTTATTGAGAAAAGGAGCTAATCATGTTTATTTTTTTGTTAAACTCTGAGGCACTGGACAGTTAAAAACATTAATGTATTGACTGTAGAACGATGACTTTGTGTGTGTACTTTGAATATTGTTCACTGAGAGTAGAGATTTTAATTAACTGACATGTACTTGAAAAATTAATTTTCAATTTAAAGTTCTCCACTCCATTTGAAAATTTATTTTACTGGTACCTAAGAAATGTACAATTGTCACAATTTGAAACTAGTGGACAGTGTGTTTTTTGACGTCTTAAGCTTTGCTCATTGCTAAGATTAGAAAACTCAGGCAGCAGGGAATACCATAGTTAGAAGTAAAAATGGGAAGATATATTTTATGTTCTCCTCTGTAATGTAGTTTTCCTTTACTCCATCTTCATTAATTTCTTTGGTGTCCATAAGACTTGATGGAGATGATGTGGTCAGATAGGAAACCCACAGATGGGTGGTTTTTCTGGGGGTCTGATGAGATGGCATCTGCTGTCTGAGGTTCACAGACTGTGGACTGGTAGGGGCAGTAAGATTCAAGAAGCAACTCAGTTTTGCAGTCACTTGGAACTAGGGGTGAGATGGATACTCAGGGCAGGATAATAACTGTGGGAGTCAGTCAACAAGGGGACATGGCATCAGTCACAAAACGTTCTGGATTCTTCAGAAAAGCTGAACAAGCAGTAAAGTACCCTGTGTTGGAAGTTTGAGTTGCCCTATAGTTGTGTACATCCAGGGTGGGAAAAGAGAGATTGTATGTGCTACCATGGATTCAGCTTCCAGTAGATACTTCAGATGTGTGTGAAGATTTTCTGCCTGTCATGAAACATGAAAATTGAAGGTTTTGTTGCCACTGACATTTGTTAAGAAAAGTTTTGAAGAAAAGTGAAGCTGCTTATGCACCTCGTTGTTTAAACACTGAGTATGTATAGACACCGAATATATATCAGAATGTATCAGTGTCCTACAACCTTCTGGGAGTCTGCTGTGCATCATCAGATGAAGCATGATTACTCAAATTGATAGGAGCAGAGAAACAGAAAAACTTCCTTCTTTGGAACTTTCCTCCCAATTGCTTTATGGACACTTGGAATTGTAAAAAACAATCTCATCAGGAATTCTTTTCATTCCTTCTGCCTGTGATATCAGATTGGTGCCCATGACAACTTTTTCTAGGAACTAACCTCTTGAACCTACCAAGTCCTGAGGCTACCAGGAATGTCACTATTTTTGTCCTGTTTTGCTGGAAGTAGAAAAAAGGGTAAATATGTCAGTAGTGTAGAGAGTAAGGTTAATCCATCCATTAATAAGAAAAAGTGTATAAATAATGTTTGTTCTCTGCTAGTAATACTACTGTGTAAGCGTCAACTATCTGTGCTTGAAAATTAATCCACAAGCTGCCTGTGGGTTGAAATGGATCAATCCATATTGCACAAATTATTAGGTTTGTTTACCAGCATGGTAGAGTGATATTTACTCTGACAGGTGGGCTTTGCTGCCCCAGTCTTTGAGAGCTCTGTGGAACTAAACAGAATATTGTTGAATGTATTAAAGTTAAGAGATTTTCTCGAGGGGATGAAGCACAATGGCTTTGTATAATTGCAAAAGGTTTAAAAAAATGTAAGCCACTTAAATGGTTTCAATTTAAGTGCAACCTTTGGAATTTTGCTTAATGGAAAATTGAAGTGACTTGAGCAGCCAGTGTGTTAATTTTTAAATAAAATTGCATACTTACTGTTAAAATAAATACATTGGATGTCTTACATACTGCATACCTCTTTCTGACCAGAGTAGCAAGATGCTCAAGAAATCCAGCTTGGTCTTTTTTCGTTTTGCTTTTTTACATTCTCTTTTTCACAACATTCTTTTTTATCACATTCTTTAATGATACAATTTGTTCCCTGTAACTGTCATGACAAAAACCTGTTTCCACCTCTATAGATTTCAAGTGATGCACTTGCTTTAATGGTCTTGTAACTATCCGGGAAAAGGTATGATGCCATGCATTTCTCTCCAAAGACACATTCACTGCTTTTTGTGATGCAATTTTTTTTTTTTTTGTTCTAGGCTCTTATGTTGTATTTTCACTCTTTGTTTATTAAAGGTTAAGTGTGTTTATCCATCATCTAATGAAACTATTTATTGAGAGAGGAGTAGAATTCCTTCTACTTGAAGGAAGTGAGGTGTAATCAATAACTCCTCTCTTCTGCTATGCAATCTGCTAATTTCTGTAGAAACCTGTGGTGGAATTAAATTGCCAAAGTAGTTTGTTACTACCTTGTAGAATGTTTCTACATTGGCCAAAAAATCTTGTGACCTGTAGTACGGGTGCCATGATACAGTGGTCTGGAATACTCAGTTTGCTTTGTACAAGCTGTTTAAACAGTATTTATTTACTTATTTATTATTTATTTATTTATTTGTACTGATTTAAGTTACAGATGCACAAAGATGACTTGCTGGTCTAATCACCCTAAAATTGTGCTCCTTAGAGCCCTGCTGCTGACATATCTCTGCTGTACAGTTTCCTACATGTGTGTACTTTAAAAGTAGTAATGACTGAAATATTCCAAAAATAATAGTTGCACTTGTGTGCTGACCTGCTTAAACAAGAGGAAGCCAAACACATTTGCATTTTTTTATTTGCTTCTGTGAATATGACAACTAGACAGGGAACTAAAATACTGAATATTGAGACTATTGTATTTGAGAATGCTTTATATTATTGCCTTTTGCCCTGAAGATTAAGAGGTAGTTATGGCTTCTTTTTCACTTGCCACATTTTTCACGTTCTGTGTTGTCCTCTGCAGTGGAGAAGCTGAAGAACCAGTGGGACAACACCCAGCACAGCGTGGAGGTGCGGCAGCAGCAGCTGAAGCACATGCTGGCAGACAGCCTGCAGTGGCACGAGCAGAGGCAGGAGATGGAGCACCTCATGGAGCAGTGCGAGATCCGTCTGCGGGTGCTCCTGCAGGCCCCAAAAGAGATGCTTGCCAAACAGATTGCAGAGAGCAAAGTGAGACCACTTATGCTTATTTTTTCCCATAGCAGATTCCTGAGTCTGTGTAATGCTACTGGATTCAATTGATGAGTGAATGTGCAATTTAGTTGTTTTACTATTTTGTCTCTTTTTGGGCATGATATTTTAATTGACTATGTTTTTCAATATATCAGACTTCCCAAGAATTCCATTTTGGGATGTAAACAGGTGGCATGTGTGCCTTTTAAAGCTTAGCTGAAATTAGTATAATTTAGCATCAAAGAAATGATATCATGCAAAAAGTTTGAACCCCAGACCAAGTAAAATGTAACGATACTGCTGCAGAACTGAATTCATAGAAGTGTTTTAACAGTGGCTTAGTAAATCGAGGAATGGACAAAGGTATTTAAAATTGTCCTGGACTTCACTTCTGGTGGGTGCCAGGCATATCCAATGTTTTGTGGTGGGTTGTTTTTTTTTTTTGTTTGTTTGGTTTTTTTGTTTTGTTTTGTTTTGTTTTTATAGATTTTTTTATTCTATGCAATCTTTGATGCTTTTTATATCATATCAAGCGTGCTGTGATAAATCTGTAAGTCTAGTGTCCTTTGTCCTGGTGGCTGTCAGAAAAAGGCGGGCTGTAGGTGGCACAGTATGAGAGCTAAAGACATGAAGCAGTGAGGAGAGGATCTTGCAAGTGCAGTATTTAGAACAGAGATATAATAGAGTATAAAAAAATATGTGCATATATATATATATATGTATCTATGTTCATGAAGGGGCAACGTAGGGATACAGCTGGTAATGAAAGAGGCAGGGAATATGACTGTGGGAGTTGCTTACCAATCCATAGCTGTTTAAGTAGACAGTAAAGTTTTATGCTTTGCACAACTATCTGACTAGTGTCTATATCTGCATAAGCAGGGAAATAGAAATGGACTATTAGGTCTACTTTGTTTTCTTATGTGAAAGCAGGTCCATGCCCAGACAGAAAGTTGGCGGCCATGATATGTAACTGGATATATATATATATATATATATATGCAAATACTCTTTTTCATTTTGAAATAATATTGAGTTTAGATTCTCTAAAGTCAAGGCACATTGTAATTATCTTGCCACAATAAAGAAACCTTTCTAATGTATTTCCTTAATTTTAAATGAAAAACCAAAAACCCCAAAGAATGAAATCAAATTCTCATACTGCACATTTCATTTATGCTGCTTTTAAATGCTGCTTATGTTGCTATTATAATAATTCAAACTCATTCATGCTACTCAAAATACAGAAGTATTTTTATTTCTGTTGCCAGTAGACTATAAAAGAGGATTTCTCTAACCTTTGACAGTTCTGGTAAATACAACTTTTTCTCACCTATTTATGTTTTCATTAGTTCATTATCAGGACATTTAATATCTGTAGATTTTTCTCTTTAAGATTTTACTCCTAGATGAAAAATGTGCACACTTTTCTTTTTAGAAAAGAGGAAAAAATGAGGGTTTTATGATATGTGATAAAATGCATAATATGAGAAATAGTCTGATTTTAATCTGTCTCATTTGGCATTGCTTTTTAGCTGTTGGTACAGGATTTGCATAGAGGTGACATCACAGTAGCAGCATTCAATGATCTTTCTAATAAACTACTTCGAGAGTATCGTGATGATGACTCGAGGAAAGTGAAGGAAACCACTGACCAAATGAACACTTGCTGGGTTAATTTGAACCAAAGGTAACTACAAGGTTTCACTCTATATACAGCAGCTTGTGCCTTAAACTTGCATTCTGTGTATACATGTGCATTGTAGTCTCTTCTCTGTGTGCTTTAGTGCAGCATTTGGTGCTGCTGGGGATGATCAATCAATTGCAGTCAAGCACTTTTGAGATTGAAATTCCCACAGTTCACAATGGAAGGCTTCTGTATGTCTTCCCATTTATGCTGTGTGTTTTTAAGTAGAAAAAAAAAAGGGACTTCTCATGTTTGCTTTCAGGTTTTCCTATAGCTGTTATTCTCTAAGTGTCTTTGAAAGCTCCTCTCTTGCTCTTTATTGCTGGTATGATTCATGTATTGGTAGTTTATTATTGTCCTTCTTTTTCGTAAGGCTGTAAGTGTTCAGCTTCATCTTCCCATGCATTAATTCCTTATGGCCTTTCATCTAATGCAAACTTCCTCTGAATGGGGCTGTGCTTTGGGTTCTTGAGTGCAATCCTTCCAGTACTCCTATCTAGAAAATACTTGTCCAGAACTGAAAATACTTATACAGAACTGAGACTTAATTGACAATTCTTTCTCTTCATCCTCTATTAAGATGTATCTGCAGATATGTCTCAATGAAAAAGTGGTATTTTCCTATGTATATTTTTTTTTCCTGCAGGGTAATGTAATTTCTGTAGAAGTTCTTTTGAGTATTTGGTATTGATAGACAATTAACATTTAGAGTAGTGTCTGACTCTGAAATCTTAAAGTCTATATGTATTGTGGTGAGAGGGAGAGAAGAAAAAATTGGTCCTCTTTATGTGGGAGTGGGGAAGATGACAACTAAAGTCTGTGTATACATGTGCATGTGAAAGCAGCTGCTTTTGGAATGGGATGCCAGTTAAAGGAATGAAAAGCCTACTTAGTAAAGCTTAAGGAGATGTTTTCTCTTGAGGAGTGAGAGGAGGAGAACATTATAGGAACTGTGAAATTAGAGAACAGTTTAAATTGGAAGAGGCCTTAAAGATCATCCAGTTCCAACTCCCTGCCATGGGCAGCCCACTAGATCAGATTGCTCAAATCCCCATTCAGTCTGACCTTGGATACTTCCAGGGATGGGGCATTCACAGCTTCTCCTGCTCCAGTGGTTCACAACCTCACAGTGAAGAATTTTTCCTGATAGCTAATCCAAATATGCCCTTTTTCAGTTTAGAGCCATTATTCTTGTCCTGTCTTTATGTGCCCTTGCAAAAAGTCCCCCTCCATGTTTCATGTACGCCCCCTTTCAGGTTCTGCAAGGCTACTGTAAGGCTCCCTTGGGAGCCTTTGCTTCTTCAGGCTGAGCAACTCCAACTCTCTCAGCCTTACCTCATAGGAGAGGTGCTCCAGCCCTCAGAATATTTTAGGTTTTCCTCTGGATCTGCTTCAACATGTCCACATCCTTCTTTTGTTGGGGCCCCAGAACTGGATGCTACATTCCAGGTGGGATCTCAGTGGAGTGTAGCGGAGGTGCAGAGTCCCCTCCCTTGCCCTGCTGCCCACACTGCTTTGGATGCAGCCCAGAACACAATTTGCTTTCTGGGCTGCAAGCACACATTACTGGGTCATGTCCAGCCTCCTGCCCAGCAGCACCCCCAAGTCCTTCTCAGCTGGACTATTCTCAGTTAGCAGGTAATGAAGGAAGCAGAGTAGAATGTCATCCTATCCTTCCTTGGAGGAAAATTGTTCTTCTGTCATTTTGTGCTTTGGATGTAGCAGCTTTTTTCCTAGTTAATTAGAGGATGAAGGGAAACAGCTCCTTGTTGGATTAGCACTGACAGTAGACTAAAACTCTGTATTAGTCTCATTCACGTTCAGACTTTGCAGTATTGCTAGAACTGGCATAAAACTGCCCACTACTCAGAGAAAGTGACCAGAAAGAAGAGCTCCTGCCTGGAAGCCTCTAATTAGTTTTGAATCTGCTTAAAGTCTAAAATAATAAGCTACTGCTTTTTGCTGTGTATAACTGAAGCTCCTTAATTATCACTGGGGCTACTGTTTGAAGTCTGCAGCCTAAGGAAGGTGAATATCTGCTTTGTTTATTAACTAGTGGCAGAATGTAAAGGACAGCTCTGAGAGCCAGTGGGTAGCCAGTGTGGAGCTGCTTAGTGTAACCCCATCTGAGCAGCACAGTAGAATTAAAAGGGGAGAATGTGCAGTGAAAGCACCTTTTCAACAGGGTGAAGATTTTGTACTTGCTTTAAATGCAATAAATAGAAATACCGGTGATGAGGCTTACTTTTTGTGACAGATGTTGGGACATGTGGGACTTACAGAGTGGACATGTAGCCCTATGGCTTCTATAAAAATAAATCTGTATTTATAGCATAAAGCTTTAAAATACCAGTTTGTTCCCCTATTTGAAAGTTGTGGAAAGCGTCCTTCATAACATCACCTGGAAGGATTGTGGTTCTGGTCACCATAAGAACACTACCAGGAAGAATATAGGCATGGCATGTAAAGTGAAGGAGCTTATTTTAAAACTGTTGGCATGAAGAGATTGAAGCTCCCCAGCTTGACATTGTGTAAATGGGATATTTTACCCAATGGCTATTTAAGCTCTATTTTTATACTTTAGGGTGAAACCATAGTTGTTCTATGTGTTTGTGCTGCCTTGGTAATGGATTATAGTTTCTTTCTGTACTGTCTCAAATGTTAGTTTCTGAATTTCTTTTGATCACCCACATGTATGCATTGCAGATTTTTAGTATAAATCTGAAAAAATAATTGGGTGGAACAGAAACCTGAAACAGAGCCATGAAAACTTAAATAATAGAATAACATTTTTTTTCTTGGTGTGTGTTTGCCAATAGAATCTGCACAAACTTTCTCCACTATCACTGTACTAGGTTAGCTGTACTTGAAAATAATTCTCCAGCTTCTCACATTTGGTTCTTGCAGAGTGGAAGATATATAGATCCTTTGTCTTTTGAGGCTGCTCTAATTGTGTCAGAATTATTTGAAAATCTGAGTTACGTTTTTATAGCATAGGGTAGTTTTTAATCTGCAGTACAGAATCCTCCTTTTTTTCTATTTTCTATTTTATGTTTGAGGTCTTTACTAACAGAGGAGGAAGGTATTTCCATTTGCTCTCTGAAAGTTTTGCTCACTACTGCTTGCTATACATGTCCTTTTTAAAAACACCCATGTAATCTTAGGACATTAATTGTAAATTTGAATGTATTTAGTGACAGGATTGTTTTTCAGCTTTAATTCAAATATATGGCAGCAGTGGGTTGGTAACAGGATTTCATTCTTTCCTTAAAGCTCAACCAAGCAAAAAATGCTTGAGAAATTAAAACTTTAGGATGAAGAAAATATTCTTCAATGAATATTGTTAACTTCAAAGTTCAAGTTGTCTTGATTCCTATCTAATACATCAGTACTTAGACTTAGAGATCTGGGTCACTTAGTGTTTCATCCTTTGGGGCTGTTCTTTTCCTTTGAAGGTCACCTTTATTACCAGTCTGTTCTTCCTGCTGTCACTCCTGTTCTTCCACCTTTGGCCTTAACCCCCTGCTGGGAAAGAAAATCCCTGCAGAGGGAGAGGGTTTTGAAGTTAGAGCTCATAACTGCTTTTACTTTACGTTTTCCTCACAGTTCCTTGGTGTGCTCTAATTTTTTAGCTGGTGCTTATTATCTTTTCTGGACAGTATCTATCAAACTACTTGTTATCTCTAACATGCTATGTATTATTTTTTTCTCAAGACTGGGTGTAGCATTCCAGCTGCAAGTGAGAAGCAAGAATGAAAGCTTCTTGCTCTCCTAGTCATTTGCTAGCTGCCAAAACTTGGGCAAACACAAAGTCAGGAATGATTCTAAGACTCTTATTTTGGCTAAAGCAATTATTAGCAAGTGTTGTAAGACCAAAGCTTCTAAAATAGGGGTTGCAACACTATCTTTGTGCAAATTGTCTCTAAAAAGTTCAGTTGGTTATGCTAAAACTTTGGAGTACGAGCCTGTCAGAATTGGGGTTGCATGAGATTTTCTCACAGTCCTTGAAAGAAAACAGCTTTTGCTTGTATCTGCCTTATCTGATGTGCTAGTAAACCAGGCTACTTGCTTTGAAACGTCATCCTGAATGTTTCTAAACACCCACTGCTTCTTTTCTAAAAGGAATATTTTAACTAGTTCTGAAATTCACAATTCCAAACAGTTATTCCTTCATACTGCTGAGCAGTACAACCTGACGAGGAGGAAAGAAAGCTGAAGTAGATGGGAAGATGCAGAAGACACAAATTTGGGCCTGTCTGGAGAAATCTGGAAATACCAAATGCTGAGTGTTTTGGCCTTGTCTGTCTTGAAATTAAATATCAGTTTACCCCTAATATATTATAATACAGCTAGTGCTTGATGTGAAAATAAATTTAACTTTCTACTTACTCAGCAGAAGCATTCTAGCTGCTAGCTCTGTTAGAGGTTTCTCTACAGTGTTCTGGTATGGGACAGCTTGTTTCTTTTGTCCTGATTTTGGGAGAAGGAATGCTGCAGATTAAGAGCCTCAAATGGGTGAAATTTAGTTTGTCATGATTTATTAATGTTGCTAATCAGAGCTTTTAAAATTGCTGACTATAATAGTTTCTCATCTGAGTTTCATTTCAATCACTAGAAGACAGTACTCTTATGCAGAGCCATAAGGTGATTTTTTTCCTAGGAAATTATTTGAAGTTGCTGATAGCTTAAAATGTTCGGATTATATTGTTCTTACATGAAAAATCCTCTTACGGACAAAAACTTTAGTTTTTGCATCAGTTAGAAATCTTTTGGATGATTGAAAATTGGGACCATATTCTGTCAGTCTTTAAGTTTGTTGAGCATGGTTGACTATTATGATGGCCGTGCATTATTCTGTTTGTTTGAGTGATTGTGTCAAAAGTCTTCTAGCAGAGAGAACCAGGTATCTGACTTTTTATCCCTTAGCACTTTAACTCTTAAGAATTTATGGCAGTGTTTCTGTTCCTCAAAAGAGGAACAAAAATACCTGAAGCACTCAGTGCTTCTACTCCATATATTTTTTGTTGATGGGGAAAAGCCCATTTTTTACACATGGCAATAACACTTCTACCATTTGGAGTAGCATAAGTTGATGATGGTAATACTCTAAAAGGAAAACCTAGGTTTTTAATTAATAATTGAGTTTTTAATGCATGCCTTTTAAAAAAGGTCTGTCAAATGCATAACCAGTTCAGGACATCTGTGGGTAGCTATGGGCACACTAAAACCAGTGATATAAATTATGATAAAACAAGCTGTATCTCTGTTCTTACTAGAGATGCACTTCAGATTTCCTTTTAGTAGTTTTATTATGGTGTATCTTACGGGGCAATATTCTGACACTTGTCTTGTTTTCAGAGCTGTCGATAGGCAGAATTTCTTGGAGACGGAGATGAGGACAGTACAGGCCTCACACAAGGATCTGGAGAGCTTCCTCAAGTGGCTTCAAGAGGCAGAGACAACAGTAAATGTTCTGGCAGATGCATCCGAGCGTGAGAACACTGCTCAGGACAGTGTCTACATAAGGGAACTCAGAAAGCAAATGCAGGTGAGATGCTAAATAATATTACTGTTATTCAATTTTTCTCTCAATGGCAAATGTTATAAAGAAAAGCTATCTACTTGGGAAAGGCTGCAGCCTACTGAAGGTGTTTCCTAAAACACTGTTTTAGAAGTCAGGTGTATGAAAGAGGCAGATTTGTCTTCCTAAGGTTTGAAGCACATATTTTTGTGTATGTGTTTGGCACTGAGGGCTCTTAAATGTCCTTGGAGGGTGACTGAGTTCAGGAAGTTACGCTTCATTAAGCCAAGTCATGTTGTGTGATTGTTCAACCAAACAATTTAATCTACTTCCCTCCAAATAAAGCCCTCCTGGGCTCCACTCTCTCCTATTTCTGTCTGCCACCTTCCTCCTGCTTTTTCAGTAATCCAAGAAGTAGTTGTGCTTGGATTGCCTCTTCTCCCTCTCCTCCTGCCCAGCAGCTCACAGCTGGCCGCCTTTCTTGTTCAGGCCCTGGACTGGAAACCTTAGAAATGACTGAGGAGTTTAACTGACACCACTTACTAAATCCTGCATTCTGTGTTTGGATTAATGTCACCTGTGATCTAAGTGGGTTTGAGCAGCTTTTAATGAAAAAAAAGATGTTGCTTTTAGTAGTGCTCTTAATCTGAACATATCTATACTGAATTGAAATGAAACAAGACTGTTAAAAATATCTGATAGCAAGTTATTCTTGCTAATCATAGTAAGAACACAGTATTTTTTGGAAGCTTGTATCTGTTGAAGATGGCATGTTACTCACCAATGTTCAAATTATTTTAGTCAGTCAGATAACTCATATGTAGAGATGTGGCTTTTTGTGAAATGCCTGGACTAGTCTGTAGTGGTGACACCTAGAACTTAATGTTATGCTTTCTACTGGTGTCACTTCCAACTACTGTAATATAGTGGAGGTGGAAGAGCTAAAACAGGGCACAGGCAGCCAACAGCAGAAGGCAGTGCTGTGTGTAAATAGACTTATTTCTGCATTACCTTGTGTTCTGTGGAGTCAATCACACCAAGATACTGCTGTTTCACAGTTTGTTGGTTCTGTGTGACTGGGAAGCACTGTGTGTGTGTAAGGTTGTTTGCCATTCTTTGATATGCTGCAGTCTGATTAAAATTGCCTGAGTTGTGCTGTGTGAGGGAAGAACTGTTGGGCAAGACTGCTGTGAAAGAAGGAGAAGGTCTCTAACCAACTCCTGACTTTCTACGTTGTCCTGACTTGTCACAACTGAAAGGGCAGGTGGAGGTGCTGGGGCACAACCTCCTCTGGTTCAGCATCCTGGTACCTGATATTGTCCATATCTTTGAGACTGTGTGTTTCCACACACTGTGCACATGGAATATTATCACTGAACTCACCCACAGCCGTACATAACATTGTAAGCCTTTTCTGGCCACCCTAGGAAGTGAAGTAGAGCATGTCAAAGACTGTCATAGCATAATGACTTCCAGAATGGACTTTGTTCCCTACCATCTTACAATCTTACTTTACATGTGAAGGAAGATGCTCGCATAACACTGGTGAGCACTCCAAAATCACTGTTTATGTTATCAAATATTTGTTGCACTTCTGAAAACAAAATGAAGCTCTAACATCTTGCTCTACCTCAAAAGATCAAGCTCACTCCTTTGCAAGTTCTTAAGCTTATTATCTGATTAAACAAAGATAATTTCTTGTTCTTCCCCCATTATGTGGTGTAAAATAACAGTGTTGTTCTCTTGGTGCCTTGTTCAATATGTAAAGTAGTATTGGTTTTGAGGTTAGTGTTTAAATGGTTTTAAAAAGAATGCAAGGATTATAACCTTCTCTGCTCTTTGTGAAGATGCCCCTGCTCCCAAGGCCTGTGCATTAAGTAAAACCTTTCTGTGAGTTCAAGGTGTGATAAATTCTAGGTGAAATGAGCTGAACATAGACAAAATGTGATGAATTTGTTGCTGTTGCTGCTGTTACATGTCATGCATTTTCAAAATAGGATCATCTGTTAAACTGGCACCTGTGCATGCATGGGAGGACTGTCCTCCATTACATTTTGGGCCTAGCTTGTTTGGCTGCAGCTCAGGTCACTCTCCAGTGGAATCAATTATCTGAGCCCTGAAGCCTTGTTTTGCCTCTCAATGTGATACCTGAGGCCAGCAACAGTACTATGCAAATAATGCAGACTTTGAGTGTGGTTGCAATGTCTTTTTGAAAAGGAGAAATCCACAATTATATCATCAGTCAGTTCAATTTATTCTCTCAGTATCTAAACCTTGTAGAAGTTTTTCCATTCAGGTTAGTGCCAAAATGCTACAGTCTGTTTTGGAAAGTATTTAGCAGTGACTTGGAAGAGATTAAAAGCTAATTTGAAAAAAGACGAAGAAAATAAGCTAGGAAATAGTAAGAAGTGCAAGGTATGTGAAGTCCTGGGCCTACAGGTGTGAAGGTGTTCAAAATAATTCAAAGATTTTGTTGTATTGTGGGAAAAGTTACCAAAAATGGCTGGCTGTTTGTCTCACTGCTTGATTCAAACTTGTAGATGGAAAGATCTGGGAAGATAAAAAGCCGAAGTAAGGAAATAGAAGGAAGTAAGGAAGGTGTGGACTGTGGGGTCTCTCTTGCAGGGAAGAGGTCTGAGCTTTTGCACAGCCATTTCTGAGTGGTTCCATGGTTTCAGAGTTCTGCTGCTTCACAGGTTTCCTTAAAAGATATTTGGTAAGAGCATGTCAGCTAATCACAGTAGGCTCAATCTGGAAAGTTAAAGAAGCAGACTTCTGGTGAGAAGGGATGTAAGCCAGGAGCAGTGGCATTCAGAGGAACAGTTCAAGTAAGTCATGAGAATGAGAAAAGACAGCGTGTCTGGCAAGGTGAATGCAGATGGTGAGATTTCTATATATGGAGTGGAATCTGTATATCTGTTTCTCTGTTCAAAATGATGTTGTTATTGTTGCAGACACATCAAGAAGAAAGCAGAGTACAGGGAAATGGGGTTTATATGAGGAGTGGTAGAAATGTTGATTCAGTCCTAAAAATAAAGAAGAGACGGCTGTCTTCACAGAATTAGATGGGATGAGTTTTTAAATGTCCTGTATGAAGAACCTGAACCTTGCATTTATCTCCTTTGTAGGAAAGTGCCCTAGAAGAGTCAATGCAGTGTATAATGCATTGACATCTAAGCTGTGCATTATTTTGGATCATATGAACTTGTCGGGACAGCTGTTGCCTGCATACTGTGCTGATTGATGTGCTTGAAATATGTAGGGACTTTTTCGTGTGGAAATATGCACATTAAATCATATGACCAGTGCTTCACCTACTGTGTTCAGGCCTCCCTGAACCCTGGCTACAGCAGTGCCTCTGATACAGGTTTAAGTAGATTCATCACAGCACCTTTGGAAGCAATGAGTAGCTGGCTCTGGTTATGCTGCAGTTTTGCCACACCTAGGGGTATGTTGGCTGTATTGCATTGGGAGTGCCTTGCTGGTAGCAAACCACTTCCATGCTCTTGAACATCCTACTATCATCCTTAGATGGCTTAAATAATTCTGCTTTGTCATGGGAAATACATCAAAATTGTTAGCTCTTTGGATTCAAGGATGACATAGAGAAGGGGTGGATGATGCAACTGTATGCTTTTACTTTGTTAAAACCCTACCTTTTTCTTGTCTAAAGTCATTCTAGAAAATATTTTATTGGAAATAGCTTGTGAAAAACATTCCTGCTTTCTGGTGCAAGTGAGGATTCTTTAGATCCATTTTACTAAATTAGCTTTAAGAGAGTTTTTATAGACAGAGATTTGCCCCCTGCAATTTTCCCTTTCGTGTTGTGTAATCTAGTTTTGAGAAACGCCTATGTGATTTATTAGCCTTTAACGTATGGCTGAAATAATTAGGGCAGGTATCCCTGTGCTCCTCTCTCAAGATTTATAACACAATCTGTTATTCACTCACTCTACAGCTCTGCCAGAGCTGCGTTCAGTCGGAGAACGAGAGCATCCTTTCCCAGAGTGAGGGAGCATACACTCTGTCTGCTGATAGAAAGCAGCTACTAGGGAGGAACAACTGTTGTGATACACTGGAGCCGTCTTCCTGAAGGAATTCTTTTTTTGTTCCTGCAGCTTTCAGGCTTAAATTAATAACCTTTTTCTGGCTATTTAGTGCACTCCTGAACGGAGGCAGACGATCGGCTGCTCAACTTCATTTGCCCTCTGCAAAAGCAGAGCAGTACTGATTAGAGGAATCTGTGAAGGCTGTTATCTTTTTGCATTTGTTTTGTGGGGTTATTTTGGGAGAAAAACTTATGCTGTATCAATCTTCTTTGCCTTTGAAACGTATAAAGCCTGTAGCTTGCAAAAGCAGTCCTGGAAGAGAGCATGCTCAGAAAGCTGGCAAATCATTGTCCAGTGACCGGGAGGAAATGATAGTTGCTCTTCATTTATAATGCAAATTCTGAGGTATCTTCAGAAGTGTGGCAAACTTAAAATGATGGCTGTGGTGAGAACCTCTCTTCAGAAAGTTGTGGTGTTGTTGCATCGTTTACAGAGGATGGCAGTTTCTTCTCCCCGTTACCAGAAGCTTTGTAAGGTAGGAAATGTCGAGTGTGTGTATTGCTAACTCTCTTGTCTTTCTGAGCTAAAAAGAAAAGAAAGTGACCATGGGATGAGTGTCAAAACCATGTTAGTTATCTAGTGTTTTAAGCCTGTAATGCTTTTAATTTTAAAAATGTTTTGTTAAAGAATGCAATAAAGAACAAACACAAAAACCAAATCAAAACAACCCTGTGCTTGCCGGAGTGATAAATTTTTTTTAGAAAAGTGCTCTCTTGCTCACCATTTAGGTGTCTGGGAAGAAACTCTTATGTTCACTGAGATTTTTTTTTTTTTTTTGTAAAATACTACCAGTTCTTTTCCTAGGGAGTTAGTTGCTTCTTGGTAAATGTGATTCTTTAACTCCTGTGTACCCATTATGTAAAATAACTGTTTTTCCATGCCCAGTGTTATTTTTCTTTTGAGCTTCATGAAGCTTTT